AGTGAGCTCAAGTTGGGGTGAAATAATTTTATTAAATGACGATAAGATTACCGAATATACGAAAATTAAAATCAAATCAATTTCTCGTGTTGTGACGAGATTTCGGGACCTCTTCAAACTTGCGAAATACAGCATTTTGAAAAATATGAGTGATTTTATTAATTCAATAATTTGGATTTTAGCAAAACATTAAGTTGATATGTGAATCAGAAGGTTCCTCAAAAGCGTTATATCCAAAAAATAAAAATATTACCCCTCAAAATCTTACGCCTCTCATTAAGCTTCTCTAAATCTTTGTAGTCAGATTCTCCTCTTCTATCAATGAATTGATGAAACACCTTTATACAATTCTACACTCCATATTAGTCAGCAAACGGCAAGTATTTGTCTGTATCGGTTTTTATCAACAATCACATTATAACTCCATAAATAATGTTTCTATTCATTTTGACGTCATTCTGAACCGATGGCCAGTCTGCTGGTGAATAAAGAAGGATAAAATGATTACAAAAGTTTAAATATCAAAAAAGTACAGACGTTTAAAATAAATATCTTGACTGAAACTTTCTCGACGTGTTGTAAAGAATTTGTACAGAAATTTACGTATGTAAAACAATTTATGTAACAATTCTATTATACTCGTACAGATCTTTCAAAAAAGATTGTAAAATTGGAGAAATTCTACCTCGCGCAGTTTCGACTACCACAGACTTAAGCCAACTACACGGCAAGAGTTTCAACTGCATTTAAACACCTTTATACAATTCTACATTCTATACTTGTCAGCAAACGTAGATAGACGAACAGCCAAATTAGATTCATTAAAATAGTGTTTATATTCATTATGACGTCATACTAATTCGTAAACCGGCCTGGAAAAAAAAGAAGCATGGAATAATGATGCAAGATTAAATACCAGTGGCGGCGCGTGGTCATTTTGACAACCGGGGCAAGCTACTGCGGGACCAAGTCACCCCCATCTACGGGGACAGGATGAGCGCTGTAAGTTCTCCCATCATTTTATGAGTATAAAAACCATTCCATCGGTAACAACCAATCGGCAAAAGCGACAATTTTTAACGATAAGAAAGTGTCTTTAAAACCGGTCCAAGTCAAGGGATTAATAAATATAGACATAGTTTATTTTGAAACCTCTTTCAAAAGGAAAGGCAATATTTACCCAGATAAATGCAATGACATATTAACAGAAACTTCGGGAAAGCAAAATCTAAAATAAGGTTTAAAACGTTACTATGAAGAAAGGAAAGTTAATGCAAAGATAAGGACATGCGTCGCTCACTCATAGATATATATGCTGCTAGACTTCTACTGCTTGAACATATATGCAACACGCCGCGGTTTCTTGGAAGCAAAATGCTCAATAACGCGCTGATTAAAGTCATGCATCCCAGAAATAACGTCTCTGTGAATGGATAAAACAGCCAGGGAATTTAATCTATCTTGCTTCATTGTGTTTCTGAGATACGTTTTAATACGCTTCAGCGTGCTGAATGTTCGCTCTGCGTCGGCGGAAGAAATAGGCGTCGTCAAAATGATGTCCAGAAATTTTGCAGACGCCTCAAAGGTAGTTACTAGAGTGTTATCTATGAGGAACCCATAGAGCGCGCAAGTTGATGTGATGTTCAAAAAAGTTTGATTGGTGTATATACATCGCAATTCATTTTCCAATTTACCCACGTTTATCATGGGGTAAAATTTGGAGACAGTAGTCAACAAATGGATGGGAAATTGACGTGCAAATTTTGAAAAATTTTTGGGGTTCATCAAAGAGAACGCGGCAAGGTGTTCAGTGCGCAGACGATCGCCTATTTGATTCACCAGAATGTCACAGCATTCCTTTGCAGACAAAATCAAACGCTGCGTTGTTTGCCCGCGGCGTAAAGAAGCACTCCATGTGTCGTCGTATTTTATTGTTTCCCGGATACGAGATACAGCATCGTAGAAGTCTGAAATACACGACTGCACAGACGCTCCATCCATTAGCCTTGACTGCAATGCGCCGTATAATACATCCACGTGATAGAATATTGTGGAGAAAAATGCGAGAAAAAATGAAAACTCACCATCTTCTAGCACAGTGATTCCCAAAGTAGGCGATATCGCCCCCCGGTGGGCGAAAACGATACAGAGGGGGGCGAAAAAGTCGAAGGGGGCGATAGGGGGGCGATTTCGCGTTATCTGTTTTTGTTTTGTGCATCGTGCACCAAATTCTGTACTCTGTGTGCATTCGCAGGCTTGAATCATGTTGGCGATTATTATACGCGAGAGGATTGCTGAACTCGTCTTCGCAGTAGGAACGATAGTTTGCGTATCCCAGTGGTCGGCTAAATACGGCCGGGGTAAAATAATCTGGCGCGGACGATTCACTGAATGAATCTTTCCCCGACCTTTGACCGCGGAAAAATTCTTTGTATATTTTACCATTTTTAAATTTTCGGTGCTTAGTTTTAAGAGTGGTTTCGCGAGTTGTTGCCTGTAAAATGGGGTATTTGTTTCAAACTATCATTCTAATTCATACCATTCAACAATCTGTTATTTAAAAGTATCGAAAAGAATTCTTGCCATAAGGAAATAAAATTTATATTCGATTCGAGAGATTCATCACTGCTTTATATTTGTAAGAACGTATTTTCTTAAAGAAAATATTTATCAAAATTTCAGAAACCATGCAAAAATATTCACTTCGATGTTTGGAAGTTCATATTTGTGCGAACAATTATTTTCAAAATTCATCTTTCCGCTAATTGTCGAGGTGAATTCCCCAATTTTTTTAATTGAAGTCATATTTTTTCAACGAAATTCTAACATATGACTATTTTCTGTAGTGAGTTATTGATAAAACGTGTTTGTTATTCTGTGTGAACGCTCAGTAATCTATCTGGATGATTTATTCTATGTATTCGGTAATTCATTTGTTGAGAGGACCAATTACTATAATAAAGTCGCTTACAACTATATATTTTCAAGTATTCGAGATTCGATTCGATTCGAAAAATATTATTCGATTCGATTCTGAAATCACAAGGTATTCGAAAATGCCCAGCCCTACGTAAAGCTGTCAAGCGTAATACAACAAGACAATGTCACATTGAATGTCATTGTAATAATTTTTTAATAAGACGACTAAGTTGAGTTCATGAATTGTCGCAGTTTTCGTGCTGTCCCATTTTTAACTTTCAAAAAATATATTGGACCCGCACAAGACTAGCAACCCTAAATTTTGTCCCGCGAGCGACATAATCTTTGCCGACCCCTAGGCAGTAGCCGATAGTCGGTCACGGCTTCTTCCACATCCGAGTCCATGAATCCAAAAACAAATGGCTGATTAATTCTATGGACTGGTGATCGGACTGTAGGCCGTGGTAGGATGAGGAATCGGAGATGAATTTTTCCGAGGTATTTTGGTGCAAGTCATCAGGCTGTAGGAATGAATGAGATGTACGAAAATCATTTTTACGAACTTTATTTTCATTATTTTAATGGGAAATGGGGTGAAATTAGGGAGTGAAATGCTGTAGGGCAGGAGTACACGGCGGTTTTTGAGGAGGTAGAACCCTGGTTTCTTTCATTTCCGACCTCTTATATGGTGAAAAGGGGGGTTTTCAGTCGTGCTACTATTACTATCAAAACAACGAAATCGCCTTTCTATCAGTAAACGGGGTAATTTTAGATATAATAAAAAAACTCGCTGAGGAACACCGAGCTCATCCATCTCATTAAAAAACACTATAAACTATGATTTGTCATCTCATTTGGTCTGTAATATATTCGTTTCTAACTTTACATTTATTTGTAGTGCCGGGGGGCGATGAAGTTGTATAAACTACTTTGGGGGGCGATGGTCAAAAAAGTTTGGGAACCACTGTTTTAAACTATAATTCTAATACATACCATTCCACAATATGTTGATTCGCACAATCGTACTTACGAAAATAAAAAGGGCATACTACTATAAAATATCACGGCAATCGGCGAATATAAATTTTCAAATGTATATTTCGAAAAAATATTTTAATAATATTTTCAAATGTATTCGAAATAGTGAATTATTCGGTATTGGCCATCCCTGGCTGAGGGTAGGGGTTCGATAGCGCAGTAAATATTCGAATATATTGCAATGCGAAAAGGAAATAAATTTCATATCTTTTCGAGAGATTCATCTTTGCTTAATTTTTCTAAGAAAATTTTTCTCCGAAAATGAACATTACAAAGAACAAGCAAAGAACTAGGATTAATGATGCCTTTTTTGAAAATGTTCCAATCTTGGCGTCGTAAAGCGTGATGCAGCAACAAGTCAGTGTCACCTTAAATGTCATTGTAATAATTTTTTAATTAATAAGACGACTGAGTTGAATTCCCAAATTGTCGCAATTTTTGCGCACTGTTCCGTTTTTAACTTTAAAAAATATAAGCGACCGGCAAAAAACTAGCAACCCTAAATGTTGTCCCGCCAGCGACATGAAATTTGCTGACAACTGGGCCGTAGCCTATAGTCGGTAACGACTTCTCCCACATCCGAGTCCATGCATCCAAAAACAATTGGCTAATTAATTCTGTGGACTGGAGATCGTGGTAGAATGAGGAATCGGGGATGAATTTTACCGCAATATTTTGGTGCAGGTCATCAGGCTGTAGGAATGAATTAGTTGTACGAAAATCATTATTATGAGTTATGGAAAATTAACTTTGTTTTCATTATTTTAATGTGAAATGAGGTGAATTTAGGGAGTAAAATGCTATAAGACAAGAGTACACGGCGGTTTTTGAGGAGGTAGAAGCCCGAATTCTTTCATTTCCGACCTATTATATGGGGAAAAGGGGGTTTTCAGCCGTGTTACTATGGCTATCAAAACAACGAAATCGCCTTTTTATCTGTAAACGGAGTAATTTTAGATATAATATAAAACTCGCTGAAGAACACCAAGCTCATCCATCTCATTAAAAAACACTATAAACTATGAATTGTCCTCTTTTTGGTCTGTAATATATTCGTTTCTGACTTTACATTTTTTTGTAGTGCAGGGGGGCGATGAAGTTGTATAAACTACTGTAGGGGGGCGATGATTAAAAAAGTTTGGGAACCACTGTTCTAGCAGACGCTTTAGTCCTGCCGCCTCCCTCACAGAGCGTTCGTCCCAAACCGGAGAGCTCTGAATGCCATTGAAACACTCAATGAGATCAGACCTAATTTCGGACACGCCCTGCACCACGCGTGATTGGAAGTTCCAACGTGTTGGTGCACAAGCTGGGAGACGGCGGCTACATATCTGGCGAAGGAGGTCAGAGCGCTTCGGCGAAACGGGAAAAAATGAAGAAAACCCCGAAACATTTTCAAAAAATATACGGACGAGAGGGGTATCAAGACACATATTTTTAATAACGAGGTTAAATTGGTGTGCATAACAATGTAAAAAATGCGCATGAGGAAAATCTTCTTTTATATAAACTTGAACACCATGTTTCGACCCACTCATGACTGCCGCGCCGTCATAAGTTTGAGCTATTAATTTTGACTTCGCGTTGTAAGGCTGTAACACTTCTTTCAGTACAGCCGATATCCCGCAAGCCGTGCGATCAACGATTGGTACAAAGCTGTGAAATCTCTCGGTAGGTTTACCATCTTCCACAAACCGAAAAATCACAGCCAGTTGGGAAACGCACGTGATGTCAGTTGTCTCGTCAGACTGAATCGAAAGGAACTGGCAATTCTCAATTTTCAGAGCCAAATGTTGTAAATAAATTTTATACATTGAGTCGAGCAAATCATTTTGGATATCCTTAGATGTCCTTTTCGAAACAGTTGCGGCATCAAGATGATCTCTCAATACTGTATCTAGGGATGCGGTGTATTCCACCATATCCAAAAATACCCCTCTATTAGAAGAGCCAGCCCGTTCATCGTGCCCACGGAGGGACAGCTCGTGACAACCAATGAACTTCAAAACATCTATCAATCGACCGAGAACATGGCGGTTTTTCTCGACGTTTTGGTTGTGCCGACGAATAGAAACCGCGCGTCCTTCATCCAACTGTGCTGCAATATTAACATTTCCGAATGTTCGGTATTTTACTGCATTGTCCAGATGCTCCATAGAAGATTGATGATCCCTGGCACGCTCGGAAAGATGTTTAAGATCTCTAAAACCAAATTTACACCAACGTGAGTCACGGGCGGTAGCAAAAAGTAGGCTGAGGATAACTTACAACATGCATAAATATATTTAGTCATTGAAACATTGGGTTGAAAAGAAATTGGCACAAACAATGTTAATGACAGCAATCGCGATTCATTAAGTGATAGCCTATAACTAATGCTGGCAATATAACACGACCATAACACTGACACGTTTTCATTGTAAATTTGCTCAAAGCAAAGTCACGCGAACTTACTCAAAAGATCTTTGATCTCAATCTTGTTTACTTCATTAGCGTTTCAATAGTTGCAAAATAGCCTAAATACAACAGCAAACTCACATTTTACTGAAATAGTCTTATTATCTTTTTCTCTTCTCTGAATCTAGTTCGTCTTCTCCTCTTTTCTAAAAGAATTTGTGTTTATTTCTCTAAGGGTTCACAGTTTAATGAAGGACGGTCTTTTGCTCGTATCGCTGACTCTCTGGAATAAAAATAAAGCATGTACTGCATTGTTTTAACCAATTATTGTTCATGAAGAACCTATTTCTAACATTTCAATGTGGACAAAGAAAACATAAAAGGCTTAAGCTTAAGCGCACTCGTGTTTTCTGAATGTATGTAAGATTAAAGATTCTCACGCTCGAGAAATACCTGCAACAAGACCGAACAACTCATAATATTTAATTAAAATAAATATCTTGACTGAAACTTTCTCGACGTGTTGTAAAGAATTTCTACAGAAATTTACGTATGTAAAACAATTTATGTAGGAATTCTATTATACAGATCTTTCAAAAAAGTATGTAGTTTGTAATATTAGAGAAATTCTACCTCGCGCAGTTTAGACCACCACAGACTTAAGCCCACTACACGGCAAGAGTTTCAACTGCATTTAAACACCTTTATACAATTCTACATTCTACACTTGTCAGCAAATGTAGATAGACGAACAGTCAAATTAGATTCAATAATATAGTGTTTATATTCATTATGACGTCATACTAAATCGTAAACCGGCCTGGGAAACCAAGACGGATGAAATAAAGATGCAAGATTAAAATCGATAAGTAATAAGAATACCAAAACCCAGCTCCATTTGAAAATTTCTGGCTACGCCCCTGCCCCAGCATGCGCTTATTCACATTTTTCATGTTTGCTAGTAACACGGGACAATCGGGATAAAATATACGGGGGTGAGTCCAGTTAAGTTGTCTTTCTGATATTGTTTTGTAACTTTGGTGTATGGCAATTTTACAGCTTCAATCTTCCATTGTAAATTACCAAGATTCCGTATCATCCAACCGTTCTATTGATGAAAGTACCACGTTTGTCGTCGGCTACACTGTTTATATGAACCGTCCTTCTGATTGGCCAAATTTTAACCAATCTTTGTTCATCTCTGATCTGAACAATGTCCTCAAGCAAAACAGTTCAATCCGTGCATTCTTCACCAATTTTACTTCATCGATAACTGTTATCTCGGCAACTGCAGGTGAACCGACTTTTATAGCTTTTCAAATAGTACATATATTAAGCTCAGCCCAGAATACAATCTTTAATTATTTGGTATTATGAGTTACAGCCGAGAAAGTAAATAACTTATATTATTGGTGTCTACTACTCCATGTGGTATAGGCACGTAACTTATATGGTCTTTGCAATCACAGATAAAAGTTATGCTTTTTAAAATCCTGATACAGTTACCAGTACATGGCCACAAGATACTGTAATTCATATCATCTCAGCGTTGTACTTCACTGCCTAAACAATATATTTCTGAATTTAAAGACTCAAATTTAAAGCGATTTATTTATTTATTTAGATATTGATGAATGTGCGTCTGGGTTATATACGTTTCATCGGAAATGGCACTCATTGCCCTATAGGTAAGCTTCAGCTCTAAATGTTTATGTTGCTCATATTGATTTCATCCTTGCTAAACCAGTAAAATCATCTTTGTGATAAATGAGCAAAGTAGAAGCCTTGTGTCCTTTTTGATTTTATCATTTTATGCAGTCCCTCATATATATAAAACTTTTAGGTATTTTCTGCAAACTAAGCGATGCACCAGAGTGGCCTACAAGTGCAACAAGGAGTGTATATTATCATAATGGAGCACCTGTGTCGATTTCAAACTCTGATGATCTTATGCCATACAAGACGTTCATCGAGTATAAATGCCCAGAGTACGTAGGCAATATTAATTTTCAAAATATTCAAAACAGTTACACCAATAGCGCACATTTCCGACCTACATATATATCAAAAAACAATGTTGCCTGCTGCTAAATAATAATTATGATGAAAGTGTAAATCACCTCATAGTAAGTTTATTATAATATTACCAATTGTGTAAAATACCATAATCTATACAATGATAATAAATTTTGCAGTCGATATACATTGGTAAATTTTGAAACTGGAGAAGCTCAAACGACTGTGATTGAATGCGTAGGAATGAATGAAACTACTCAATCGCACAAAGGGTGGACAGGAAATGGTGTCAGATGCGATATGAGTAAGCACTTCAGTACTTGCAATCTTTCAGTTTATTGTAAAGATTAAAATTGGACTATGCCTTTAGTTCAGCTATTCAAAATATAGTGAAATTTGATTTTATTCAATATTGATAACCGTCATTTTGTCTATTCTCGACAAATGTAGCAAATCACATTTATGAATCAAATATTCGAATCAATTACGCAACTGTGAAAACAACATAGTCGCTCCATTATTCTGAGTTTTTCGATGTTCTATTTCAGCGGTGGAGTTTATGGTCGCGATAATCATGGCCGCAGTAAGCAGTGTAATAATAGTTCTGGTTGCAGGAGGCTTCATCGTTTCGTGGACAAACAAAATGAAAAAGAAAAAACAAGATGAAAACAGCGACAATGATACTGATATATTAAATTTCCCAGGCTAATAAAATGAAAATAAAAAAATAAAATGTTTCTTTTACTAGTATATAATAAATTGAAGTTTTGTTTGTATCAATTACGAAGCATTGTAAAGAGTTGACTCGTGCTTTTTCTTTTTTTCGGAAACCTATTTTTTTGAGATTTCTCACAATATGTCAACGAACATGTTATATAAATGGGGATTCCAATAAAACCCAGCCAATTTATTTGAATCCGATAATATTAGATAGAGTAACAGAATATTCTTCAAATTGATATATTGAGTCGTATTTCCCTCATATGAATCTCTTCTGTCCTAACAATGATCCAATATCTTCAAATAATATAATGTCAACGACTCTGATGGCGAATGTTCTCAATTTGATAGTTATTTTTTTATGTTGAAATTGCGTGTGAACGGCAATGTCTTCTATTATATTCGTGCAATGTTTTTATTACATTTCTTTTTATTATCACTGATAGATAAGTTTTACGATTTTTGTTCCTTTATTGCAAGCCTTCTAGTTTTCATGCATACACGGTTCCAGCATATTATTTTTGTCAATTATCTGGGAAGATATATATATAATATAAGGCTAGTCTTGGACTGCGCTATTTTCTAATTTTCATACGATAAATCATAGTGTGATTTTTAGATCTTTAATCTCTGTAACTCATGATAAATTTGGGCTACTATATTTCTTTATCGTACATGCTCTGAACTTGATCCATATTGTTTCCAGCGGTTTCCTGTGACCTCTTTAGGCAATTTCAATTTCTCCTCATCTTAAACACATATTTATAGTGAAAAGAGCAGAATGACTGAATAGCATTTTATAATTCGTTACAAACATATAAAAAAACACATTTTGAATAAACGAAAAACATTCATATATATTTGGGAATGGCCATTGGATTGGGGTTGGGTCGGTGTCTTTTAGTGCTTTGTTGGGAGATATGATGGGGTTTCACTTCGGTTGGTTCAAACAATATAACAAAACTGTTTTAGAATTATATTAGCATGAGCGCAACGCTAAAAAGAATATATTTTCTTTAACCAGGCAATTATCAGCGTGTTGGTGAGAAATTCGAACCAATATATATTACACCAAATATTACCAGCAGTGCAGCTATTTCAATGGAGCAGTATATCCATATTTGCTGGCGAATGTGTAGAATTTAATGTCTGAATGCTCAGTGATGTTACATTCTCTTTTCTCCACAGAGAATAATATGTTAATTAACAGTAGTTCTTGTTTCAGTAGCCATAGTCGAAGATAAAATTCATAAACAATTGAGTACGCATAGATCATGTAAGTACATATTCAAACATCGCCTTAAGTACGTACGAAGTTGACATCACGAAGATATATCTCGCATTGAAATGCAATCAGTGACTCCTTCAGTCTAAACAATTTCGATTTTCAGCGGTGTTACTTCTCTCGTATTGTCAGGATCGCCAACATCCATAATATTCAGTTTTCCAGCTTCTCGATCGGAATTTAAATAAAGTTGTTTTCGCATTTCCAATCGTATAAAATAGTCGGAAAACTTTGAGTAGACTTGCCACACACGACTATCAGAGGTCATATTCGCTTCTGTTACACCAGCTGGGTCGCTTCCCGGCATCCACAAAACGTACCAGTTCCCATTCCATTGATACGCTGTAATAAATCGCATGTTTTCGTCGTCAACAGAAAACATGAATCTTTCATCAGCAACTTTCCATATTCGTATATTACCGAGAACGGATGTGAATCTCATGTAAACATTTCTTGCGGAAGTATCATTCACCCTACATCAAAAATGATAAATATATCCATAAGAAAACTGCTAGTGCTAATCATTTTGCCTGTTGATCTATTGACCAATAAAAATAGTTACGATGAGTAAATTACAATTTTTTTTTTGAAAACTGATTGGCTGTTAGAGTTAAGCATCAGGACTATATCTCAATTATTTTGTTCCGTTTCAAAAAGACCGAGACAAAAATATATAGACTCGGCGTCTTTTCTCTAATATCATTTGAAGTAAATCAAGATGATCATCATAGTGAAACGGCATACGCGATCTGCTAACCCCAACTCAATGTCGCATTACATATCAACGATTTCGGTCTCAAATGAAGAGCACCCAAATTATAGTGACCCCCGGGATAAATATGTAAATCCTATCCTATCCTACGGCATAGTCGGTAATCAAAGTTGCCATGCTCTTCTTATATCAAGTAGGGTAATACCGTACCTTGTCCCTAATGTACTGTCGCTAACATCTCCTACTCCTACATCAACAGCACTTGAAGTGGGAAATTCTACTACAGTTAACTCGGGAAACGCCCGAACTTCTTCAAATGGTGGAAATTCATTCTCGGTCTCCGGATCATCGTCTGCAAGGTAAAACACGTTGATACCAACACAAATATCATTGTTTCAAGTTCATAAACATATGTACTTCACCTATAATACCCTCGGGGTCCTTATATTTCTCAAAGTAATATATTATCATCCTTGCATTATATACACATGAACCCATCAGTGACAAAGCGTAGACAAAAGATTTCGTAGTCACACAAAAATGTACTAGTTTCCCGCAGAAGCAAAGCACGAGTTAAATATCTAATTTCTGCACGATCGTATTTTATAAAATTTCATAAAGTATAAGTTTGAGAAATTATAAATGAACTTACGTTTGTCGAGACCCTTCTTTTTACCTTTGCATCCCTGGAGAGACATCTTCAAAAATAGGCAAGTCACCACTTTGATGTGAACCGACGGATGCCTTCAGTTGCAATAAAGTGGAATGCTTTGTTTACTAACGTCTTGGAAATGAAACGTTTTTATTTGGTGAAAGTAGGTGGTATCTGATGACTGGCATAAAGACCATGATAAATTGCGTCTGACTATCCAGTCGAAACATGACGTCATTTCAAATAATGCTGTTTATAACAATGGCTCGTCTTGCGCTTGAGTAAACACGCTATTACAACTTACAAGCAAGCACTTCACATAAATGTATGAATAATTCATTGTTTTTTAGTTTTATATACAAATGAGTTACAATGGAGGGTAGCAATTTAATTGTATTTTTAATTGTATGTAATGTAATAAATCTGTCTGATATGAAAGAGTATGATTTCGAAAAGTTAGATATTATTATGGTACGTATGTTTGTTCTATCAGTGGCATATTTAAAATAGGCTTTCGCCAAGCAATGCTATTTGGGGTAAAGTATTTTACCAACTAATGAAAGAAGACTGGTCAATCATTGCTTTGTTATTTAGTAATGGTTTTCATCAATTGTAACCTGGTACTAATTCTGATCATCATGCGTGATTCAATACATTTCTAATCAAATGTAGTATGAATGGGTTTTTATGTTTTGTACCATTAAATTTTAAACCCATATGAAATAGCGACGACCCCAACACGTTCAGCGATACTACGCTTTGCCGTCTTGTAATCTCGATCTTTTTGGATTTCTTATTCAGAGAGTCCATATGGATGGTTTGTTAAATTGTAGTTGTTTTTAGTTTCTTGCTGGAGCGACTTTTCGGTTTCTCCCTTAACTAATAGACCAATCGACCTCAAAGTTTCAGCACCCAACGATGAAAGTAGTGTCGCCAGAAGATTTCTTTTCTTTTTTTGTTTTTTAAGTTACTCTAAAATCTAAAAGATCCGATATTTAACTCAAAATTTCCCTGTTCTACTTTAATTCACAGTTAAACGGCCTACAAGAGCAACAAGAAGTGTATATTATCATAATGGAGCACCTGTGTCGATTTCAATGATGATCTTATGCCATACCAGACAAGACGTTCATCGAGTATAAATGCCGTAGTACGTAGGCAATATTAATTTTCAAAATATTCAAAACAGTTATAACAATAGCGCACATTTCCGACCTACACTTATACCAAAAACAATGTTGCCTGCTGCTGAATATTAATTTTGATGGAGATTGATGATGATGTGAATCATCTCATATTGAGCCTATTATAACGCTCTACGCCAACATTGCTTATTAGCCTTACCAATTGTGTAAAATACCACAATCTATATATCATCGCATATATACAAATAGTGAGAGGTTACATAATATTCAGATATTTACACTGACATTTACATGCCCTAATAATATTCTAAGGCTTTTCAAGTATAAGTTAAACTTCAGTTTGAAGAAGTATCAAAGAAAATACAGCCCTCAAGACGTTATTTAAAAAATACTTTTTGTGAAAAATTTCAACATGAATTGAATACTAAATTTTTCAGTCGATACACATTGGTAAATTATGAAACTGGAAAAGCTCAAACGACTGTGATTGAATGCGTAGGAATGAATGAAACTACTCAGTCGCACAAAGGGTGGAAGGAAATGGTGTCTGATGCGATATGAGTAAGCATTACAGTACTTACAATCTGTCAGTTTATTGGAAAATATCAAAATTGGAATACGCCTTAAGTTCGGCTATTCAAAATATAATAAAATTTGATTTTATTTAACATTGATAACCGTCATTTTGTCTATTTTCGACAAATGTATTAAATCACATTATGGAACCAAGATTCGAACTAACTATGCAATTATAGAAACTATATAGTCGCTTCAATATATTCTAAGTTTTTCAAATATTTATTTCAGCGGTGAAGTTTATGGTCGCGATAATCATGGCCGCGGTAAGCAGTGTAATGATAGTTCTGGTTGCAGGAGGCTTTATCGTTTCATGTATTCAAACAACAAGAAGAAACAAGATGTAAACTGTGACAATGATACTGATATTTTAGAATTCCCAGCTTAAACCGCTTCTATAAATAAATAAAATGTTTCTTTTACAAGTACAAGTAATAAATTGTTTGAGTTTTGCATCCCATCAATTACAAAGTATTGTAAAGACTTAACTCGTGTTTGTTCTTTTTTTTTTGGAAACCTATTTGTTAAAAATTTCTCACAACATGTCAACAAACTTGTTATATAAATGAGGATTCCAATAAACGCCAGCCAATTTATTTGAAACCGATAATATTAGATATAGTTACAGAACATTCTTCAAATTGATATAATTAGTCGTATTTCCCTCATATGTATCTCTTCTGTTCTAACAATGATGCAATATCTTCAAATAATATAATGTCAACGACTCTGATGACGAATGTTCACAAGTTGATAGTTATTTTTTATGTTGAAATCACGAGTGAACGGCAATGTCTTCTACTATATTTGTGCAATGTTTTTATTACATATCTTTTTATTATCAAAGATAGATAAGTTCATGCATACGCGGTTCCATCACATTATTTTTGTCACTTCTCTGGGAGATTTAAATATATTATATAAAGCTATATCATGATATAGTCTTGGACTGCGGTATTTTCTAATTTTCACGATAAATTTTGGCTACGGTATTTCTCTATCGTACATGCTCTGAACTTGATCCATATTGTTTTCAGCGGTTTCCTGTGACCTCTTTTAGGCAATTTCAATTTCTCCTCATCTTAAACACATATTTATAGTAAAAAGAGCAGCATGACTGAATAACATTTTATAATTCGTTATAAACATGTAAAGAACGCATTTTAAATGAACGAAAAACATTCATATATATTTGGGAATGGCCATTGGATTGGCGTTGGGTCGGTGTCTGTTAGTGCTTCGTTGGGAGATATGATGGGGTTTCACTTCGGTTGGTTTAAACAATATAACAAAACCGTTTTAGAATTATAATAGCATGAGCGCAACGCTCGAAAGAATATATTTCCTCTAACCAGGCAATCATCAGCGTGTTGCTGAGAAATTCGAACCGATATATATTACACCAAATATTATCAGCAGTGCTGCTATTTCCATGGAGCAGTATATCCATATTTGCTCGCGAATGTGTAGAATTTAATGTCTGAATGCTCAGTGATGTTACATTCTCCTTTCCCCGCTAGGAATAATATGTTAATTAACAGTAGTCCTTGTTTCAGTAGCCATAGTCGAAGATAAAATTCCTAAACAATTGAGTACACATAGATCATGTAAGTACACATTTAAACATCGCCTTAACTACGTACGAAGTTGACATCACGAAGATATATCTTGCATCAATATGCGGTCAATGCCTCCTTTAGTCTAACTAAACAATTTCGATTTTCAACGGTGTTACTTCTCTCGTATTGTCAGGATCGCCAACATCCATAATATTCAGTCTTCCAGCTTCTCGATCGGAATTTAAATAAAGTTGTTTTCGCATTTCCAATCGTATAAAATAGTCGGAAAACTTTGAGTAGACTTGCCACACACGACTATCAGAGGTCATATTCGCTTCTGTTACACCAGCTGGGTCGCTTCCCGGCATCCACAAAACGTACCAGTTCCCATTCCATTGATACGCTGTAATAAATCGCATGTTTTCGTCGTCAGCAGAAAACATGAATCTTTCATCAGCAACTTTCCATATTCGTATATTACCGAGAACGGATGTGAATCTCATGTAAACATTTCTTGCGGAAGTATCATTCACCCTACATCAAATGTGATAAATATATCCATAAGAAAACTGCTAATGCTAATCATTTCGCCTGTTGATCTATTGACCAATAAAAATAGTTACGATGAGTAAATTACAATTTTTTTTTTGAAAACTGATTGGCTGTTACAGTTGGGCATCAGGACTATATCTCAATTATTTTGTCCCGTTTCAAAAAGACCGAGACAAAAATATATAGACTCGGCGTCTTTTCTCTAATATCATTTGGAGTAAATCAAGATGTTCATCATAGTGAAACGGCATACGCGATCTGCTAACCCCAACTCAATGTCGCATTACATATCAACGATTTCGGTCTCAAATGAAGAGCACCCAAATTATAGTGACCCCCGGGATAAATATGTAAATCCTATCCTATCCTACGGCATAGTCGGTAATCAAAGTTGCCATGCTCTTCTTATATCAAGTAGGGTAATACCGTACCTTGTCCCTAATGTACTGTCGCTAACATCTCCTACTCCTAAATCAACAGCACTTGAAGTGGGAAATTCTACTACAGTTAACTCGGGAAACGCCCGAACTTCTTCAAATGGTGGAAATTCATTCTCGGTCTCCGGATCATCGTCTGCAAGGTAAAACACGTTGATACCAACACAAATATCATTGTTTCAAGTTCATAAACATATGTACTTCACCTATAATACCCTCGGGGTCCTTATATTTCTCAAAGTAATATATTATCATCCTTGCATTATATACACATGAACCCATCAGTGACAAAGCGTAGACAAAAGATTTTGTAGTCACACAAAAATGTACTAGTTTCCCGCAGAAGCAAAGCACGAGTTAAATATCTAATTTCTGCACGATCGTATTTTATAAAATTTCATAAAGTATAAGTTTGAGAAATTATAAATGAACTTACGTTTGTCGTGACCCTTCTTTTTACCTTTGCATCCCTGGAGAGACATCTTCAAAAATAGGCAAGTCACCACTTTGATGTGAACCGACGGATGCCTTCAGTTGCAATAAAGTGGGATGCTTTGTTTACTAACGTCTTGGAAATGAAACGTTTTTATTTGGTGAAAGTAGGTGGTATCTGATGACTGGCATAAAGACCATGATAAATTGCGTCTGACTATCCAGTCGAAACATGACGTCATTTCAAATAATGCTGTTTATAACAATGGCCCGTCTTGCGCTTGAGTAAACACGCTATTACAACTTACAAGCAAGCACTTCACATAAATGTATGAATAATTCATTGTTTTTTAGTTTTATATACAAATGAGTTACAATGGAGGGTAGCAATTTAATTGTATTTTTAATTGTATGTAATGTAATAAATCTGTCTGATATGAAAGAGTATGATTTCGAAAAGTTAGATATTATTATGGTACGTATGTTTGTTCTATCAGTGGCATATTTAAAATAGGCTTTCGCCAAGCAATGCTATTTGGGGAAAGTATTTTACCAACTAATGAAAAAAGACTGGTCAATCATTGCTTTGTTATTTAGTAATGGTTTTCATCAATTGTAACCTGGTACTAATTCTGATCATCATGCGTGATTCAATACATTTCTAATCAAATGTAGTATGAATGGGTTTTTATGTTTTGTACCATTAAATTTTAAACCCATATGAAATAGCGACGACCCCAACACGTTCAACGATACTACGCTTTGCCGTCATGTAATCTCGATCTTTTTGGATTTCTCATTCAGAGAGTCCATATGGATGGTTTGTTAAATTGTAGTTGTTTTTAGTTTTCTTGCTGGAGCGACTTTTCGATTTCTCCCTTAACTAATAGACCAATCGACCTCAAAGTTTCAGCACCCAACGATGAAAGTAGTGTCGCCAGAAGATTTCTTTTCTTTTTTTGTTTTTTAAGTTACTCTAAAATCTAAAAGATCCGATATTTAACTCAAAATTTCCCTGTTCTACTTTAATTCACAGTTAAACGGCCTACAAGAGCAACAAGAAGTGTATATTATCATAATGGAGCACCTGTGTCGATTTCAAACTCTGATGATCTTATGCCATACCAGACAAGACGTTCATCGAGTATAAATGCCGTAGTACGTAGGCAATATTAATTTTCAAAATATTCAAAACAGTTATAACAATAGCGCACATTTCCGACCTACACTTATACCAAAAACAATGTTGCCTGCTGCTGAATATTAATTTTGATGGAGATTGATGATGATGTGAATCATCTCATATTGAGCCTATTATAACGCTCTACGCCAACATTGCTTATTAGCCTTACCAATTGTGTAAAATACCACAATCTATATATATCATCGCATATATACAAATAGTGAGAGGTTACATGATATTCAGATATTTACACTGACATTTACATGCCCTAATAATATTCTACGGTTTTTAAGTATAAGTTGAACTTCAGTTTGAAGAAGTATCAAAGAAAATACAGCCCTCAAGACGTTATTTAAAAAATACTTTTTGTGAAAAATTTCAACATGAATTGAATATTAAATTTTTCAGTCGATACACATTGGTAAATTATGAAACTGGAAAAGCTCAAACGACTGTGATTGAATGCGTAGGAATGAATGAAACTACTCAGTCGCACAAAGGGTGGAAGGAAATGGTGTCTGATGCGATATGAGTAAGCATTACAGTACTTACAATCTGTCAGTTTATTGGAAAATATCAAAATTGGAATACGCCTTAAGTTCGGCTATTCAAAATATAATAAAATTTGATTTTATTTAACATTGATAACCGTCATTTTGTCTATTTTCGACAAATGTATTAAATCACATTATGGAACCAAGATTCGAACCAAATATGCAATTATAGAAACTATATAGTCGCTTCAATATATTCTAAGTTTTTCAAATATTTATTTCAGCGGTGAAGTTTATGGTCGCGATAATCATGGCCGCGGTAAGCAGTGTAATGATAGTTCTGGTTGCAGGAGGCTTTATCGTTTCATGTATTCAAACAACAAGAAAAAACAAGATGTAAACTGTGACAATGATACTGATATTTTAGAATTCCCAGCTTAAAACGCTTCTATAAATAAATAAAATGTTTCTTTTACAAGTACAAGTAATAAATTGTTTGAGTTTTGCATCCCATCAATTACAAAGTATTGTAAAGACTTAACTCGTGTTTGTTCTTTTTTTTTTGGAAACCTATTTGTTAAAAATTTCTCACAACATGTCAACAAACTTGTTATATAAATGAGGATTCCAATAAACGCCAGCCAATTTATTTGAAACCGATAATATTAGATATAGTTACAGAACATTCTTCAAATTGATATAATTAGTCGTATTTCCCTCATATGTATCTCTTCTGTTCTAACAATGATGCAATATCTTCAAATAATATAATGTCAACGACTCTGATGACGAATGTTCACAAGTTGATAGTTATTTTTTATGTTGAAATCACGAGTGAACGGCAATGTCTTCTACTATATTTGTGCAATGTTTTTATTACATATCTTTTTATTATCAATGATAGATAAGTTCATGCATACGCGGTTCCATCACATTATTTTTGTCACTTCTCTGGGAGATTTAAATATATTATATGAAGCTATATCATGATATAGTCTTGGACTGCGGTATTTTCTAATTTTCACGATAAATTTTGGCTACGGTATTTCTCTATCGTACATGCTCTGAACTTGATCCATATTGTTTTCAGCGGTTTCCTGTGACCTCTTTTAGGCAATTTCAATTTCTCCTCATCTTAAACACATATTTATAGTAAAAAGAGCAGCATGACTGAATAACATTTTATAATTCGTTATAAACATGTAAAGAACGCATTTTAAATGAACGAAAAACATTCATATATATTTGGGAATGGCCATTGGATTGGCGTTGGGTCGGTGTCTGTTAGTGCTTCGTTGGGAGATATGATGGGGTTTCACTTCGGTTGGTTTAAACAATATAACAAAACCGTTTTAGAATTATAATAGCATGAGCGCAACGCTAGAAAGAATATATTTCCTCTAACCAGGCAATCATCAGCGCGTTGCTGAGAAATTCGAACCGATATATATTACACCAAATATTATCAGCAGTGCTGCTATTTCCATGGAGCAGTATATCCATATTTGCTCGCGAATGTGTAGAATTTAATGTCTGAATGCTCAGTGATGTTACATTCTCCTTTCCCCGCTAAGAATAATATGTTAATTAACAGTAGTCCTTGTTTCAGTAGCCATAGTCGAAGATAAAATTCCGAAACAATTGAGTACACATAGATCATGTAAGTACACATTTAAACATCGCCTTAACTACGTACGAAGTTGACATCACGAAGATATATCTTGCATCAATATTCGGTCAATGCCTCCTTTAGTCTAACTAAACAATTTCGATTTTCAACGGTGTTACTTCTCTCGTATTGTCAGGATCGCCAACATCCATAATATTCAGTTTTCCAGCTTCTCGATCGGAATTTAAATAAAGTTGTTTTCGCATTTCCAATCGTATAAAATAATCGGAAAACTTTGAGTAGACTTGCCACACACGACTATCAGAGCCCATATTCGCCTCTGTTACACCAGCTGGGTCGCTTCCCGGCATCCACAAAACGTACCAATTCCCATTCCATTGATACGCTGTAATAAATCGCATGTTGTCGTCGTCAACAGAAAACATGAATCTTCCATCAACAACTTTCCATATTCGTATATTACCGAGAGCGGATGTGAATCTCATGTAAACATTTCCTGAGGAAGTCTCACTCACCCTACATCGAAAAAGATAAATAAACCCAGCAAGAAAACTACCAGTGCTAATCAACTTCGCCTGTCTATCTATTGGCCATAAATATAGTTACGATGTCTAAATCAGAACTGTTTTTGTGAGAACTGATTGGCTGTTACAGTTGGGCATCAGGACTCAATCTCAATTAGTTTGTTCCGTTTCAAAGAGGCCAAGACGTGATATATGGACTCGACGTCTTTTGTCTTATATCATTTTGGAGTAAATCAAGATGGATAGTGATACGGCACAAGCTATCTGCTAACCCCAACCCGATGTCGCATTACATATCAGTGTTTCCGGTCTCAAATGGAGAGCACCCAAATTATAGTCGGTAATCAAGTGTTGCGGTACTCTTCATATATCAACTAGTAGGTAATAGTAGTAGTTTAGTAGTAAGTTATTACTGTACCTTGTCCCTAATGTACTGTCGCTAACATCTCCTACTCCCACATCAACAGCAGTTGGACGCTTAAATTCTATTTCAGTTAACTCAGGAAACGCCTCAACTTCTTCAAATGGTGGGAATTCATCTTCGGTCTCCGGATCATCGTCTGCAAGGTAAATCACGTTGATACCAACGCAAATGTCATGGTTTGAAGTTCACAATCATATATAACAGGCCTATTGATTTAACCTATAATACCGTCGGGGTCCTAATATTTCTGAAAGTAATATACTATCATTCTTGCATTATTTACACACGAATCCGTCAGCAACAAAGCGTAGATAAAGGATATAATGTAGTAGTCACACAAAACTGTAGTGGTGTCTAGCAGAGGCAATGCACGAGTTAAGTAGCTAATTTCTGCACGGTCGTATTTTATCAAATGCAATTTAAAGTAAATATAAATAAACTTACGTTCGTCGTGACCCTTCTTTTTACCTTTGCAGCCCTGGTGTGACATCTTCAAAGATAGGCAAGTCACTACTTTGATGTGAACCGACGGATGCCTACAGCTGCAATATAGTGGAATTCTTTGTTTACTAACGTCTTAGAAAGGAAACGTTTTATTTGGTAAAAGTAGGCGGTATCAGATGACTGGAATAAAGACCACGATAAATTTAGTCTGACTATTCAGTCGAAACATGACGTCATTTCAAATAATACTGTTTATAACAATGGCCTGTCTCGCAATTTAATTGTATTTTCAATTGTATGTAATGTAGATCGGGGTGGTCCAAACCGCAGACACGTTCCATGCGCCCACAGAACACTTTAAGCGTGCAATAAACCATTGGCAGTTATTTTCATTTATTGGCAGAACATTTTTTAGTTATTTTCAAACTATTTCAACTGGGAATAGCCCTTTTCCTAATCCCGATGTCGAAATTGACGTTACAAAATTTCAATGTTGTTTCTATAAACGTCAAGACGGTGCCAACATGGGAATGACGTCCTGTGATCGGTACAAAGAGAACAAATTGTCTTGTGCACACAGGACCAAGCCGATGGGCTAAGTCGCGCTTTTTCGTGCCTTGATCTCGCATCAAGTAACTCTTCATATGAAGAGGCGTTTTGTGCCTTTATTCAAGTAGAAACACTCTTCTATTTTCAAGCGTTGGTCATGTGACGAACCGCAGAGCTGACTTCGCGCCGCGCTATCCAGTTTTTTTTAGCTGGGTCCGGAGTCCCAACTTAGACGGACTTGATTGTTCTTTGATGATAGCACCAGGCCTGCTCATGCTACAAGTAATAAAATTGGTCAAATATAACAATTCATCATACAATGAGAGTAATAAAAAAGGTGACCGAGGTAAACTGGGAGAAAACGTATTTCCTTACCCACAACAACGGTAAACCACAGTGTGTTTTCAAGTAATATATATATGTCACGAAAGAATGTAATCTGAAGCGACATTACAAAACCAAACATGAGAAAAGATACCAAAAATACCACGGTATTTCTCTGCGAGCAATTATAAAATAAATAATAGCCTTATATAACTTCCTTAAAAAAACTGATCGAAAGGGTAAACTCCAATTCTTTTATATTTTATCGCGATCTTTTGATCACTTTTGGCTTTTTTCTGACTGCGGCCTGTGAGACATCCTCAAAAGTTTTCGCGTCCCGCCAACCTCGCAAACTTGAACCACCCTGAGTTAGATACTAGATGGTACGTGTGTTTGTTCCATCAGTGGCATATTTAGAATATGCTTTGGCCAAGCAGTGCTATTTGTGGGGTATCTTTGTGGTACTAATTCTGATCATCATGCATGATTCAATATATTTCTCACTAAATGTCGTAAGAATGGGTTTTATGTTTTGTACCATTGTATTCTATGCCCATATAGAATAACCGTGACCCCAACACCTTTACTGATACTCCGCTTTGCCGTCTTGTAATCTCTTGTAATCTTTTTTTTTTTTTTCGTCAAACCTGACCGTTTTCATTACAACTGTCCTTCGTTTCGTTGCATGAACTCAGGGACACACCATTTACCGGTATAAGTTAGAAATGAAATCTTCGTTTACATTCCCAATTTTTTATCATTTTTGGCCGTCCACCGAACAGTTGACATACACCGAAAAGCTTAGGTCGAGCTTTAGCTAGGTACAATTGGCCAGTTTGTTTTTATGCTGTTTACATCTAGAACGAATTAAAAAATTTTCGATGCTTGAACTGTATATTCAAATGAGGTGGTTACTGGTGGGAAATTTATAAGACATAGGTAATTTGTGCGTCAATCCAAAATATTACCCGTGATGTATGTTATCCTCGTTGACATGTTTGTTATATGAAGGGTGAACAGAACCCATAAATTTCCGAAATCAATTTATTTTATTTATTTATTTTATTTATTCTGTTTGCGTATGAATATGCCCAAAGTTTCAGAAATCTGGGACTTTTTGCGCGGAAGTTATTTTTTTTCTAAATTCATGAAACTTTTGGGTGCAATCATACACAAACAGAAGTTCGAGTCAACATTTATGGGTTTTATGTCACTCTGTAACATAACTTAAGTTTCAATGATTTTTGCCGTGAATTATTTATTTACTATTATATTGTACACATTTCTATTGATAACTAATGTTGACAAAAGCATAGCATTGAGGATTTGGGTAGACATTAGATGAGAGAGTCAAAAATCTATTTTGAGCGCTGCATTTCTGGTATTTCTTCGTGCTCTGCCGCTGTGTTCTCACGCTGTTTGCATTGTTGCTTATATTTACTGCCAGATTCGTGTCGTAAATACAACGCTCGAAGGATTTATTACCGTTTTTATTGATTTATGAGTATTTATACTGCATGACAAAATACAGTGAAATGAGTGTTATAATGGAGAGTTCACTAGTTTCAGCCAGTTGACTATTAGAGTCAGTTTTGTGACAGGCTTGTGTGTACGTATGTCATGTTTCACATCAGCGATTTTGGGGACTAAAATGATATCGAAATAATGAAAAGCGCAATTGTCATAATAAAATCCGTTGAAAATGTTTTCGCAACGAAGCTGAGTTACTAGTTGCGAGTTGTTCGTGTGGCACATAACGACAGTTAATTAATCTCTTTAATTAATAACTTGTGCAACCGCGTATTTTTACGCAGCTTTATTAAACTGTTATGTTTAGATATAAATACATTTTGTTTAGTAAATGCATTCAGTAGCGATAAGCTGATGGTAAGTTTTGATACTTTAAATTGATTTTTGTGTTGATTTGCAGTTGAAAACAGTTGCTCAATTTGGTAGAACATGACATTGGATGTGTCCTTTTTCAGCTTCTCTAAATTATTACACGAGCCTCAGGAAGTAACAATTTCATAATATATATAAAATGAACACGCTCTACGTTAGCCTCAGGAAGTAACAATTTCATAATATATATAAAATGAACACGCTCTAGCTCTACGTTAGAAACCTAAAACTTAATCATTCACATTTTGAGGTTGTCGTATAATATTATGGTTTGGCAATCGGCATACTTTGCCTTGCATATTCCCATGTACAATTTTCTTACCATTTATCTATATATAGTCTTCATTTTATGCAAATTGGATTCCCAAAGGTAAACAAACATTCAAGGCCTGAAAACCAGAAAACCGCATGTATATCATTCATGAGTATTCACTGAATGCTGTAATTTTTAGATTGAAAAGTGGATAAAATGCCGATATATCCTGACAATTTTGTTGACTTTGGGTATGATGAACGCTTTCATCATGAGAGTGAACATCAGTGTGGCTATTGTGGCCATGGTTGACGCTCCAGAGATTGATAAGACCGACGTTCACGAATGCAGATATTTAGTAGCTGAAGATGAAACATCAGATTCCGTAGGACTGCAGAATATCACTAGAATCGAGGTATGCGGTATTATTTTATGGTATCGAACATCTACGAAGGGTACAACTATAGTGGCTGAAGATTCAACCGGTTTCTTGAACAGTGTTTTCGTAATTGCAAATGTCGGATATTTTGGCATCTACCACGAAAGTGCCCCCGGTGTATCATAAAGAGATCATGCTTCATCAAAATTTTACTTGAAATACATTTATCCCGAGGACAAATGCGATTAGACCGTCAACGACTTTAAGCTACCTAAGTTTTGAAGACATTCTAGTTGAATTAATTAAAGTGCAATTGATCAATCACTAATTAGTTGGCGTTTTCTTCGGCAGCTTGTGTAATGAGTCTGGTTGTCAACCAACTAACATGCTAACCTCGGGATGTTTTTTTAACACAGAAACCATTCAAATGGGATGCAAAGACACGCGGATGGATTCTTAGCGCTTTTTATTACGGATACATCACAACTCCTCTGCTAGGCGGATGGCTAGAGCATCGCTTTGGTGGTAAAATAGTGTTTGGATCTGCGGTTTTTTTTTCGTCTCTTGTCACTTTGTTGATGCCAACGATGTCATTTGTCGGTCCATGGGCCCTTGTAGCATCACGCGTAATATTGGGAATCGTTCAGGTGGGACGTATTTTCGTTTTCTGTTAACTGTGTGAATTTTTTTCAGATTATCTGTATTATTTTGATATGGTTATAAAATCGTTGTTATTTATTACAGGGTCCTGTATATCCATCTCATCATGGAATGTGGGGGAAATGGGCTCCTCCAGTTGAAAGATCTAAACTAATGTCTATTGCCATGACAGGTAAACTAAACGTATATTTTAAATAGCTTAAACAGAGTTTCGTAGACTATGGTGACTTAATTCATGTCAAGTTTTGTGCCAACCACTAATTGCTATTTAATAGCATCTCGGTCGCAAAGATGACCCGTTTCTGCAGCTTCTAGAAAGGCACTGGTTGACTGTTCCTCTTATATCTATACTTTTAGTTCATATCTCGAGACCGTATTCAGCAGACCAAACTGGAAATAAATTTGTGATATTCAATTAACTTGTCTTATACTTAATCGGGATTGTTTTTCAAATTATAGGTTGGCAATTGTTTACAAAAATGAATATGGTGCATATGTGAATGTACGGACAATTCATTTACATTTATTATTCGGATGCTTAGAAACAAATCAAGGTCGTTTATTCAAACGGAATATCTCGTCATATCGAAAATAGTATTAAAATTAGGAAATTCTTTCATCACAGGTCCTTATGTTGGAGTGGCTATTGCATACCTTGTCTCTGGTGCCTTGGCCGACAGTAGATTTTTCAAAGGGTGGCCGTCAATATTTTATGCCACAGGTATGTTTCATGTGTTCATTATGAAATTTTAATTGGCTGAGGCTGAGTAATTGAGTAGAGGCCGTCGTTACATGTGCAGTAAATCTATATTTGTCACTCTTTTCAACTTTCATATATATATATATTGTTGCATGATTTGGTTCACCGTCGTTGGCATCATAATTCTGCCTACGGTGGTTTTGGGTAAATATTGGTTACAAACTAGTTTCAATTTAAGCGTCTTTTATGCGTTTGAGAATATCGTTATGTCCATATAGAAACATGCGTCGGCCAATGCAGCTACAGGATGTAACCATACGTAGCAATACTGTGCTAACGTTAATTTGTTTTTGATTTGACAAAGCTCAATACCTAATTGCCAAACACGCCTTTCTCATAGTTCAGTACTTAGCCCAGATGCTATACCAATCTCTCGAATGTATGAATCCATTTCATGACTCTTTAGTTCCGGTGTTGGCCCAGGAGCACGTACGCAATGAAGATCGTGCAGTGTGTTTGCTCATAAATTTGTGATAAATTGAGCTTCTGTGGGATTACGTTTCTCAGTTATTTATACCTTATCATTCAAGAGGTAAAAACAAAATTTTCCAACAGAGAATTTTGCCATTGAATCCGATCATTTTTTTAACTATCGTATATACGATTTTATCACTCATGACAATGTTATCAGTTATCCTGTCCTGTGATATCAGCGTTTTAACATCAACGCGACTCGGCGTATAGCTAGTTAGGTTGTGGGTCAATGTGTAAAATGCGTTTCTATATTTAGGAACATTTGGAGTGGCATGGAGTGTTTTATGGGCTATACTGGCGTTTGATTCTCCAGAAACACACCCCAGAATAAGAGAGGATGAAAGGGAATATCTTCGAGATGCAATTAGAAAACGCGAATGCAAGGTGCTTAGTATTATCGTTTCGTATAAAAATAAAGTAAATAAAACTTCAGCACTTTGTTTTTACTTCAGATCAGTATTTAAAATCAAGAGATTGTATAACTTGACTTATTTGCGATGGAAGCTATATTTCTTTTACTGAAGTATTGTTGAAGTATTGATTACTATGTTGACTGATTGTTTGAATTCTACACATTAAAGTGCTTGTTTGAACGTAACAAATCATACCCTTGAAGTCATAACAACCATGATAATGCGTTTATTACCTAATCAAGTAATTAGCGTAAATTGACAGTTAGGAATTATGTCGTAAACAAAATATCAGTTGTGTTTTCGAACGCATATTGCAAGTATTGCTTTAATATTTTAGATCAAAACACCACCTGTGCCATGGAAAGATATTGTCCGATCACCGCAAGTTTGGTCGCTTTTCTTTGCTCATTTTAGCCTTGATTGGGGCTTCAGAAATCTATCTATAAATTTACCGTCGTTTATGGACCAAGTATTGGGAGTTGATATAAGTAAGGTGAGGAAAAGTGGTGATGCATATTGTTGTTACCCTAATTTTTACATTGGGTTCGTTGCGTAAAATCAAATAATTTTTATAGGAAAATCGTTATAGTAAAAATAGCTGAACTATTCTTCAGAGAAAGCGTCTTTGTACTTTTTGTTTCTAGTTTTGTGCTTTTGTGTCGAATATTTGCAATTATATACCCGAAGTAGTGGAGGCATGTTGTCGACCACACAGAACGATAGTGTTACACAATTGAATATAATTAGTTTTACATCGATGCTAATCAAAAATGCTGAAATCAAAATATTATCACCATTCAGTCTTATTTTATCAATCGTAGCCATGCATGCGGCAAAAAAATGATAACTACATGCGTTTCGAATAGAGTTCTCAAACTGTACCCTCGACCCCCGAAGAGGCCATGGAGTGAGACCACGGACCACTCTTAGACTGTTGTGTATTTTTTTTCTCCATTTTTATATATCGCCTCTGTATTAATAAACATGGCTAATGAAATAACTGATAGAAACCCAATAAAAGCAAAACTAAATCTTTTTAGACAAACATTGATTCCTCGCCAGAATCTTGCCCGTGTTCAAGTCTAACATATCAATCAATTTTTATTTTGTGGTCGATGTTTCTACATTTTATACCGGAACTGCTCTTCGTTTACTTTTCAATTCTTTCTAGAACAGCATACTGTCTGCAATACCGTTTCTTGCAGTTTGTATATTCATCGCCTTGTCTGACAAGATATATGATTTTATAAGAAGACGAAAGCTCATGACGCCGCTTAATTTCAAGAGAACTCTCGTCTTTTTCGGTATCAATTTTGTTTATAGTTAGCTTGTCATTACCGAAGTAAAGTGCTACTGGGAGCAGTGAATGAACGAAAAACTCAGGTCCAGTGCATAGCACATCGAAGTGTAAAAAGCAACACAAATTCTACGTATATACTCTTCTACTTTGTATTTAAGCGACTAATTTTTACCTAGAACTGCTAAGGATTAAGGTATTGAAGATTTTACTCGTGATTTCAAATTTAATTTACAATTCAAGGTGGCATAAGCGTACAAATAACGAGACGCTAAACTAAAGTAACGAAACGCAATTAACCAGGCGTGTGAGCATCGCCTGTATTGACTCTCTTCTAATCTTGAAATTGGGGCATTGCAATTCTGCAAAGCACAGCTTGGAAAGTAAAAATCTCCGTTATTCACCCATGTCACTATATCTTACGAAGTGGATAAAAATCAATAAAACTACATTAAAAAGTCAAATGCTAAATCCACCATAAACCTTTGTTGTTTAGCTCAAATCGTACCCGCGGTGTTTTTGGTAGCAGTCGGTCACATAGGATGTGACCATGTGACTCCAGTTCTTATATTAACAATGGCCGCTGGATTCGGAGGATTGTCTACTCCCGGGATCTTGGTAAGATAAGGCTGATTTCGACTCTTCAGTTGACAATTGTTAACAAACTACTAAGTGATTTTGCATTTTATTTGTTTATAGATCACGCGAGATATTTTTTCGTAATATAATTATCAGAATTACATATTCTCCCAATCACATAATATCATTCAGACCTCGTGTCATAGGTATATCGGGATTTATATTCTTCATATAATCGAAATCGTACAAGTGCCAACTCCAGGGTCGTCCTAACCCAGGCCAGCGGTTCACATCATCGTCAGCAGCGTCATTACATGTGACCGTGTGACCCGTGTCGCATTTGGTGTTGTTCCGTCATAAAAATGTTCAGACATATTGTTACATCACTAATGTCGTTGAATTGAGTAATTTTCAGGCTTACTGAGACAACCAGCGAAATTGAATAATGTTGAAATTGAGTTGTGTACTTGGCAAGCCTAAATTATTAAACAGCTTTTTTTCCAATCTGCCGGGAATATCACTAATCAATCTGCAGTGATTTGTGGTTATTTTGTAAACATGACTTCGAAAAGAAAGCTGACCAATTCAAACAGAATTTTAACTGGTTATTGTAGGAGAAATAATACAATGCTTGATGTGCCTGCAAGTTGCGTCGTTGCCAAAATAATATAATCTAAATCGGCATTTTGGAATCTTGTAATCATTGAACATTTTCCAAAGTTAAGAGATTTTGCTCTACGTAATGATCCTGTTTCAGCAATTGTTCATCTTTGGTTAAAATTTTGATTAACATTGAATTACGATATGTTTGAATGGGGCCATTTTTATTATTATTTTGTGTTCCGTTAAATTCAAAACATTGCAAATCTGGCCCAAATTTGAAATTTCCATTGTGGTTAATTCTCAAATTCACCAGCAATGTCTTTGCACTATAAAAGAGTTTGTTTATATTGCGCTGTTTACATATTCTTGTTACTAATGTGACCCGCGGACAATGGAAAAATAATCTTGTGGACCCAGATGCCGACAACCTTGGAACACCCTGATCTAGTCTATCGCTACATTTTTCAGAAATCGATTCTAGTTTTGAGGGAACCTCGTTTGAAATGCTCATGCAGGAAGAAATTAGAGATGTATATTTTGCCATTTTATCAATTTGACTTTCTAATGATACATTTCGTTTTTCTTTATCGAATATTCAAAGCAGCTTACAACTGCATTTAAAAAAAATGTATGGCATCAAAATCAATCAAAATATCTGACACAAATATTCACAACAGTCAAACTGTTTTGCTACACAGGTTAATTTTGCGGAAATTGCTCCTCGGTTTGCGGGAGTTTTATTCGGTATGTCGAACACCATATCCATCATGTCTGGTCAATTGGCACCGGTATTAGTCGGCTATGTTACAGGAAGCGTAAGTACTTCTATTCTGTTTTTTGATTGTTGGTATGGTGATTTCATTCCTGAATATTTTCTTAGGCCATATTGATCTGAAATCCCGGTGTTTGCTGCTATCCTGAAATATGGCGTCATATTGCCTTCACTTCTTCCTACTGGTGGCTATTTCTTACCAACACCCTAATTATACAAGTTTAGGTATCATTTCAAATCAATTATATTCACTCACAGATTTCTGATCTACGTTATGCATGGCAAATTGTCTTTTATGTCGGAGCAGCCGTATCTGCACTTGGAGGAATTGTGTTTATGATAACCGTTAGAGTCGATGTTCTTCCTTGGGCCAAACTCACTAAGCGTGACAGCGAACTTGATAGCGAAGACGAAAATTTAAGATTGCGTGAGCCGAATTCTGAAATGAAATGGCGTGAAAGTAAACATAGTAACCTAAACGATACAACGACTTTGTGACATTTACGCAATATTACGTCGTCTTTCGTAGGAAAACTTTATTCCTTTGTAATAGTTACGAATATATTTTCTTTATTTTTGCTGCTATTTGGTACCTTACGAATGCTTCGTAAATAATGGATCGGTTTTTGATTTGATGCTGCCTACATATTTGGATGAATCTTCGCGCATAGGTGCCAATCTGCTGCAAGAAAATATACAGTGTAAAATTTACACTGTAAATAATAAGAATTAATTATAAAATTTCCGAAAATTCCATTAGTACCAGTTTCTGATTATTGATTTATTTTTGTGCGTTATGAATTTGTAAACGTTATTTTGCACTTCCAGCATCATGAAATAAATATTTTCTTATGCAAATAAAACAACTGCCTAGTACAAATTTTAAGATAAAGTGCGCTGTTGGATAATCTCACCTGGGATTTCAGTGCTTCTATTGAATTGCTGAATATCCATCCCCCACGACGAGAACGAAACACTGTCGTACCCTCGTAACTGAGTACTTTACAGTCCAAAATGGTTCTGGCCATCTAATACTGTTAAATTCATTGATAGGAAAATTGAATCTTCCAGGACCTGTTTAAAGTGGAGGAACTTATTTTTGGCCCCAATCTCTTCTATGCTTGCACGTAATTTACGGAATTATTTCGAGTTACGGAAGGAAAGTTACGAATTACGTAAAATCGTAATTATTGGTCGATCGCTTTTACGATTGAACGAGCTCTCTTCAAAGCAGCCAATTTCGTCGATTGTAAAAAATGAAAGTTTAATAAGTACAAGAGAGCTATGCTCAAATATATGGACACGTAGCGCCACAATTTTGATGACGTCATAGCGAAAAAAAAGTAATAGCCTTCTGGAGAAAAAATTTATCTTTAACCACAGAAAATTTCAAAGCAATTGGTCCAGTATTCGAAGAGAAAAGCGATTTTTTTAAAATGGTGGAGACAAATAACAATAACAACATAATATTGAAACGATCGTTATGTCCACTAAAACGGTATTCGCAGCCGTTTTTCTCTCTCTTGCCAATACGTCGCCGTGATAATCAGTGTCGCGCTTATCAAACAGCAATATGACGACGGAAGAGAAATTGCGTAATGAACGAACGCAACTTCGTCTTTTCGGCATCAGTAAAGCGGTTGAGACTACAAAACGACGGGATTTCCGCGGACCGGTACAAATCCTTTGCGGACCGGCGGTTGGGTACCACTGTTATAGAATACTTAAATCGAATCTAGAATCCTATTCTATTTAACCATAATCAAGTATGAGCCAGTGTGTTTATTCTGTGCGAGATTCATTTTCTATTACAAAATCCTAATGTTCTGTTACCGGTTTTATCGTTATATATTTGACCGGACTTGGCCTTGCTCAATATGTTTTTCACAGTGCCTCGCAATATTTCGGCCAAATATGATTAACTGTACCAAATGCGGCAACTTATTTTGATCTTATCGTCGACTCGAATACCACCGGCACTCGACCAAACTTGTGTCAATCTTGGCCGATAGAATCGTCGACTTGAGTTAGAAAAATAAGCTAATTTTCTCGTGAGGGCAAAATAAATATCACAAAACGCATTGTTTTGCGATATAACTTTGTATTTTCGGAGAAGGCATGTTATATAAGTACGGTATTTATTAAATTATGCGCAAATAGTTGATATTTGATCTAAATTTATCGCAAATAATGTTATAACATTTAGGCCGCGAAATTATTTAATGTAAAATGAAGCATGGTAATCGGAATATCGTCAATAAGTCGGCAAAAATAATTATTATAAAATGCTAACTAGGTAGTAAAGTCGAATAATGTAAAAAACGGTGCAATAACAAGTCTTCGTCGCAAGGCAAGCGCAAGTATATTCAAACCAAAGAATACGCGCTTCGTTGATTAATAAATTAAAAACCCGAAATTTTTATTTAATACGAAAGTCGATTTAAAAAAAGTCAACTATCGTTTCATAAATATCCGTATACCAGTGTCGGTAATGATAAAATTGATCGCACGAAATTGGGACGGTTGATTTGACACTGTTGCCGGCGTGTAGTACTACCAGGAATATGAAAACCAAACTTCGATGTCCCATTCGGAAAAGAAGTGAATTCAATTGGTTGTTATGATGGGTTTAAATGTGTGAAAAAATATCGCAATTACGAGGTCATTACGTAATCGATTTGGCCGTTATTACGGAATTGATTTTTGTCAATTACGTGTAAGCCTAATCTCTTCCAAAATACATCGGTAGTGCATCAGTATTGTACCTTTTGCACATCTTTCGAACATACCGTACAAGTCTTTTATTTACATTAAATACTCTTGGAAGAAGAATCAGTTTCTATTTCAACATCGAACAATCATTTTCATACGTGGCTCACGTGGAACTAATCGAACTTCTGCGAGGCTGCCACAAATTAGGATTCAGGTGCACGCTGACTAACTACTACAGCAGGATATATATACATTTGTTGAGAATCTTTCGCGTTATTGCGTTTGCTTTCAAAATCCCAACTTCAGGTGCAATTACTTTCTCCTGAACTATGAAACGTGACTAAAATATTGAATTAGCTATTGGACGGACCGGCCTACTCGGATAAGGATATCCATCGGATAACCTGAACCCTAACCTGGTACACAACCTGAGTTCAGGTTGTGCGCCATCTTGATGCGCATACTTCAAGAGGTCCAGATAAGACCTTCTTTCGTGAAGGACTGTAATTTACTTACGTAATGATCCTGGTTTCAGCAATTTTCCATCTTTGGTTAAAATGTTGACTATCAGTAAATTACGGTATGTTTGGTTGGAATCATATTTAATATTATTTTGTGTTCTGTTAAATTCAAAACATTGCAAATCTGGCCCAAATTTAAGATTTCCATTGTGGTTAATTCTCAAGTTCACCGGCAAACAAGCCTTTGAAGCAATATCTGCGGGGTTTTTATTTGAAAGGTACACAGACCATTTGATTCAGATCTGATACGTCACTCTGTTTGCGGCGAAGGTTTCACGACTTTATATGCATCTGTTGAAAGCTTATGTCCTTACGAATAGGCCGTGAGACGAGGCCCAGAAAAACGCTTAGGAAGTGAGTTCCGTAACGCACATCTGTGGACTATATAGATTCTTTAGTTTTGTATGAAAATGAACATACTGAACGCTTTACAGCTCGTTCCCACTAACGAAAGTTGCACATTTTCGGTAAAACATGCCTCAAAAGACCAGATGCAAAAATTGGATATTATGGGATTCCCCGAAATCAACAACCATAAGTTTACAACGAAGCAATCAAACGCATCCATTTTATGCGATGAAGTCACGAATTAACACAGTGAGTACAAAAACACAAGTAAATTGGTTAAAATTCTGATGCAAAATTGAGGATTCCCCGTAAAACCAATAACCATAGGTTTACAACAACACAGCATAAGAACTATGCAATTCAAGATCCCTGCTGCACACTAACACATCTGTATTTCTGTAACGTTTCGTCTAACCCAAATAAGACAAGTAGTTTACAACAAAGAACAGAATCATAAGAAGTTGCATTCATTTTATAGAAGCCATCAAACGCATTGCTTTTTTGACAATAAAGTCACAAATTAACATATTGAGCACAAAAACACTAATTAATCTGTTCTTTCTCAGTGAGGAATTTACCGGAAACGGCAAGAAAATTAAATGAATAACATAGTGAACAGAAATCTCACAATTAGTTTATGTGGTTGTGTATTTGAAACAAATGCAATATTTTTTATAAAAACAGGACTTTCGACACTAACAGATGCCTGAAAAATAAACTAATATATAATATTTATTGAATTAACTTCAATATCTAATTCAATTCCCTATCAATTGCTTTCGAAATCCTCATTCTCGAAAATCGACTTTTCCCATATAAGTGTACTGTGGTTTTTGCAGTGGACACAAAAACAAAATTTTGAGCAATTTAGGTTGTTTTTGACACACATGCATAAATTATTTTGACACCTATTTTGCTACACTTGCAGTTGCCAACTCAAAAACTGATTTGGGGGCTGTAAGTGGATCCATCAATGTAATCCGCGAAACACCATCATCAAAAACCCATCCATGGCCAATACGTAGGCGAATTATCGGCTTTGATTCTAGGCAACAGTGATGAATTCCTGCCTGGTAATTTGCCCTCAGAACATGCTTCTTTAGTGAATCATTGTCGGGTGGAAGAGTATAATTCATATGTTTTCCAGTTTTGAAAAGACGTGCCCTGGTATCATTTACAATCTTCATATCCTATCCATACAGCGATAGAACAAATTCCTCCGCTTTATTTGTTAATGCCTCGTTAACCTCAAAATATATTCATAGTTGGGGAAAAAATCAATGAATTTCAAGTCCCCCAACATCGGTTTGATGGGCAGTTTCAAAGAATGCCAAATTATTTCAATATGAATAACCCATCTAAGCTGTTTGCAACTGTTATGATTCTCATATACCTTTACTAGAGTTGCCAACCTAGCGTTAAACCATTCCGGGTCACCTATGTATAGAATTCGAAAGTTGATGCAACAGAAGCTTGTGAAACACGAAAGACATCAAAAGCAACAGTACGAGCTGCGCGTCAAAGAGTGATGATCGTGCAGCATTTTTCACAATTTCCAAGCCTTTAAAAAATTTGATCATAGTCAAAGTAACTTGTGAAATGTTGAATCTTTTAAGTATAAATTAAAAAAACAACAACATAGAAAATCTATTTGAATGACCCATACAGATGTAATCGTTTTCATTAAAAAAAAACAATATTTGCGTGAATTATATCCGTTTCTATAGGGATTTGTTGGCTGTACTATTTGATTTTTTTGTATTAAATAGGTTGAAGAAAAATGGATGTAAAAACATGCTAAGCGCTTCTTGTTTGTAATAAATCCGTCAAAACGATCGATAGAGGCTCATGTACACCTTCTCAAGCTGTAGTTCAGTGCATCTTGCAAAAATTGAAATGTGATTTAAACCAATTGTTTTAGAACAATTCTTTTTGGAGAAATCCCTAGCCAAAACCTTAATAGTCAATAGAACTAGAATGAATTTATATCTAACGGTGAGGTTGCATGACGTATGGATTTGTGCAGTAAAAGATTTGCATTAAATTAGAGGATTCTCACAAGTAACATAGGCTAGGTTAGGGTGTCTCATTCTTCATATCAGAAGATTACCGCCGATATAAGCATATTCTTCATTATCGCAACCCACTCGTTTCGCCGAAGGGCTGCCTGCACTTGATCGAATTGCTTTTGTAGTAGGCTCGTGAGCTAATTTTCATGATTTTTCTTACTCAAAACGTCTCTCTGATATCTCGGCTAAACATTCCGGGTGAAATATTATTACTTTGGTGGAGATATAAAGGGGCGATAAATGTACGCAATAGTGGTAAAAGTCAAAATAAAAGTTAAAACACGATGTTTTTTTTAGAATTGATAAAAAACAAAACCCTATCCGTTTTCAGTTTTGAACTAAGCCGACACGCTTACATGGCCTTCTATTTTAGAACGCCATGGTGGTCATTAAATTCCGGGACAACCGTAGCCCAGCCCGGGACGCCAGACGTCAATTCCGGGACTGTCCTATATAGACTGGATTGTTAGAACATTGGTGTTTTCTTTTGTAGTACAGTATCTAAAACGAGGAGGAAAATCATATTTGAAACGACATGAGTGTTTTTCGACAAATAAAAATACCATTAAATACTGACTAATACTTCTTATACATAATGCATTTTATCTGATGTACTATAGGCTGCAGTGTTTGCATACTAGACTATATCTACACTGAACTAGATAAATCGAACAGTCTGAAATGCCGTGTATTTTTTAAAACATCAACTGTCAGCCTACAACTTGATACATGATTTCTCACCTTTCAATTACTTCCATTTCTTTCAACTCCTGCATGACTTAACATTGCTACCTACGTTCTTGTCGGCTTTATGAATATGGACCAACTGACATCAATAAAACTGGTTATTTCCCCCTCTTCCTCACAAACGTGCATTAAAAAAACGGTCTTTATTTTCTGAATCAAATATGCTGTAGCCCGAAAGTGGCCAACACGTCGATCGCCACGTCACGAGCAGATGATCGTGTCTGATGTTGAGTGAATTTTATCGCGTGTCGCGTGTCTAGACCAGGATTTCCATATTGGCTTTTTTAACGCCAAATTTCACGATTTTGGCTTTTTTGAAACACGTTTGGCGTCAGAATTTCCGTTTGGCTTTTTTTTTTATTTTTTTTCTATGTTCATTCTACTGTCTATTATTAAAATCATTTAAAATACAATACCGGTATTTATTGTGCTCAGCTACTCAACATTTGTATTTTCCCTTAACCACAACCAGGGGGATGAAACTAGCCGAGAAAACCACGCCCACATTGATAAAACAAACAAAGTTATTCGCGTTACGAGTTGGTGCAGCTTCACGCTCCATTGCGATCACTTGATTTGCTCGGGGATTGGTGAAGACGGTGGTATGTGATCAGTAATTTATTTTTTCACCATTCCAAAGCACACAATGTGAATACACAATACAAGAAATAGGAAATATGGTACTTTAGGGTGAAGGGAGGCGCGAGACACCAAGACTGGTGATCGAGCAGCGACACCCATGACAAGTCTAACAGTAATAGATAAATAACAGTAATATATAAATCAAACAAACTATAAATATTAGAACAGGTTTACGTTAAAGTAAGTCGAGGCGACCTGCATACCCAAAAGACACCCGATCCAAGGAGAAACGGATAACGACTCCGAGCACCGTCTTGTGAGTAGCCATGGCAACGTCAGCGAAATCTTATACTGCGGAATACAGACACTGCCTGAGTTGAGCTTGAATTCATATTTATCCCGCGAGGGGAAGCCGATAACTTGGCATATTTATATTATTATAAAATAGTTTTGTTTGTCGCAGTTAAGGATACGAGAGTGTGTAAACAAGTGGAAGTATAGTGGTAAGGTGCTTTGATGCCGGAGACGTCGTGTGAAGAGGGAAAAGCCTAAGGACCCAACCTGACGTTAACAGGTAAAAAATAATAAAATTTGATTGGCGATTGAAAATAATCGACAAAATAAATAAATGTGGAAGTAAATGGTATTGCTAGTTAGACAAAATATGTACATAAAGAAACTAGTATATTAGAAAATTTTAGTCCATCATTGAAAACATGAATGCAGTAAACACTGTACCGGTACGGTATCGGTACGGTACCGGTACCCAAGCAAACAGCATATGGAAAAGACATCAATTTAGTAAGTTGCAATATCATTAAAATTTTGAAATTGGTGAGTATACTGGCACTTGACAAAGACATAAAGAATAGCTAAGTATTTGTACACAATCTGAGACCAAAATTATGGATCATGGGTGAAGTGACCCACCGGTATACCGGTATGGTTTGGATCCAAGATAACCCGTCTGAGCCTGATGTTGGCAAGATGAATAGTTTGGTTATTGTATGAGTGGCACATGGCTATGCACTGACACGGTGGAGAAAAAAAAAATTTAATATTCACAGAGTCTCTATCTATTTCAGTTACTGTGGACTGTGGGTGAAGTCAAGTGTTGAGCTGACAATGACAAGGGGTGGAGGGTGTCAGCACATCAAACAGATGTGGTGACTCGAGACAGGTAAGATGAAAGCATGACCTTCTTATATTTTATTTTAAAAGAGACATATGTGCTTTCACGTAAACTTTGTGGAATACTATTCCATATTATGACACCTTTGTATTTCAGGGAATTTTGAGATTTGCTCAGTGAAAAGCGAGGTACAAAAAAATTGGACTTGGTTGAAGAGCGAGTGTTGTGTTCATGCACAGAGGTAAGCGAAACAAAATAATTGTTGAAAGCTGTGGGCAAGTGGTTGTTTTGAAATTGGTGCATAACTTTGGAGATCTCTAGAGTGTGAATGTCAGATAGTTTTAACACCCTTGTTTTATGGTATAGGGTGTTTAGGTTTGTACGAATAGATGCTCTAGAGAGGGTTCTAACAGCTTTATTCTGTAAGATCTCCAATTTATGAATGTTAGTTTGCGCTCCTGAGCCCCAAGCGGTTATGGCATATTGTATGTGGGATTGAAAGAGAGCAAAGTAGACAGTTCGTAGGGTGGCATCCTGGACATAATGTCTGAGTTTTCCCAATATCCCAACCGATCTCGACAATTTCTTATGTAATTCGATAGTATGGGTGTTCCATTTTAAATTATTATCTATATGGAGCCCGAGATATTTATAGGATTGGACGACTTCCAAGGCAACCCCCCTGATTTTGATTAGAATGTTGGCATGTGTTGTTAGCGATTTTCGGCTGAAAACCATGACTTTAGATTTTTCGACATTTACAGTAAGTTTGTTGCATAACATCCACTCATATATTTTATTTATTTCTGAGTTTACAGTGTGTTGGAGTGTGGTCAAGTCTTTTCCACTAGCAAGCAGGCAGGCATCATCGGCGAAGAGCTTGGTTAGAAGATTAGAGCAGTTCGACAAGTCATTTACAGAGAGTAAAAAAGCCAAAGGCCCGATAATTGAACCCTGGACAATCCCGCACTGAATGGGCAACATTGGGGACTTATGAGAACCTAATTCAACAAATTGAAAACGACCACTCAGGTAATTAGCTAGTAGTTTGCTTACATTACCTCTGAAACCATAGTGTTGCAACTTTTGAATAAGAATTTTGTGGTCCACCGTGTCAAAGGCTTTCTTTAGATCAAGGAAAGCACAGCAGACAAACTCAGTTAAGTCTAGGATGGCATGGCTAGTAGAGTGATCTGGTTGGAATCCGAATTGGCATTTATTGATCAAGTTGAATTTGGTACAAAAAATTAGCATTCTCTTGTATATTAACTTTTCCAGAATAAGACCAATTGAAGATAGAATAGAAATTGGCCGATAATTGGAGGGATTATTTTTGTTGCCGCTTTTGAAGATTGGTATAACCCTGGCAATCTTTAATGAGGAGGGGAAAATACCATAATTGAATGATAAATTAAAAAAGTGACTCAGTTCTGGAGAAATAATATCTGCGACTATTTTCAAGAAAAACGGGGAAATACCATCATGTCCAACTGCTTTGCCCTTTTTCAGGTTCAATATTATTTGGTGAACCTCGGAAGGTGTCGTTTGCTCCAGAAAAAAAGAGTGCTGTGAGGGAGCACTCAAGAAAGCTTTGAAAGATTTCTTGCTATGTGGAATATTGTCAGCAAGTTTCTTTCCTACAGATGAAAAGAATTTATTGAATTCGGCGGATATTCTGGCGGGGTCGGAAACTGTGGCACCATTTTCAAGCTCCAATTCAGAGACGATGGATTCATCTTTGGACCTAACTCTAATAATGTCATTGATAGTTTTCCAAGTGTGCTTCACATCCCCTCTGTTGTTTTCAATAATATTATGGTAATACATTTGTTTCGATTTTCTCTGCAAGTGCGTCAAAATGTTCTTGTATTTTTGAAGTGGAGACGCTGGGATGAGTTTCCCTTTAAGAATTTTTTTCTAAACATATTGTTTTTATGTTTGATGGACTTACGAATTCCTTTAGTAATCCACGGTTTAGAGTAAAGTTTATTTTCTCTACGCGAAAATGGTCTTAATGGAGCATGCTTATTAATCAACCATTTGAAGTGACTAAGAAAAAGATCGAATGAGCTATTGAAGTTTTCCTCATGTATGCTAATACTAGTATAATTGTTACAGATCGACTCAACCTCCAATCTGAACAGGTCAGCACAAAATTTAGTCATGTCACGTTTCATGCGAGTGTTTGTCTTTATATTGCCAGTAGTTGCTGATATTGTGCACATTACGGGAAAGTGGTCAGTGAGATCACTGAGCAAAATAAATGATGAATTGCAGAAATTGACGGTATTGGTGTAAATATGGTCTATAAGGGTGTGAGAGGTCGGGGTAACTCTGGTTGGTTTGGTAATGAGCGGGCATATAAAATTAGTCATGAGCATGTCTAAATACTTGGTAGTGAGATTGTTATGAGAATCAAGAAGATTTATATTGAAATCACCTAATATTATAAATTGCTTTTTAGCCATTGTCAGCTTCTCGAGTAGACAGGACATTGCTGTGGTGAATGCTGGAATATTATTTTTGGGATGCCTATATATTACACCAACAACAAGATTTTGAATTTTTGAGGTTGGTTGGAAGTTCTTTGATTCAATCCAAATGTCTTCGCAGTTAGGAAATCCTAAGCCGAGTTCAGAGCATGCATGATAATTTAAATTGCTATCAATATAAAAACCAACACCGCCTGCTCGAGTTGGGGATGGAGCATGTATGAAGGTGTACCCAGGGATATTAACATTCGCAACACTGTCACTTATGATCCTGGTCTCGCTTAAGGTGATGATTTGAGGTGGAGTACAAAAATTGGAAATCAATTCAACTAAATTATCAGAATATTTCGGTAATGATCTAATATTAAGGTGCAAAATGATGAACTCTGAAGGTAGAAAATTGACGTTACCCTGTTGATATCAGATATTGACTTGGGGTAGAAGAAATTTCAGGGTGAAAGATTCCCAGTTTGGGTTGGGATCACTGTTTAGGTCATAGATAGGTGATGATAATGGATACAATTTTAAAGAACATGTAATAGATTGTGATCAAATAGGCTAGTGCGATGGGGGGAATGTCATAGCTTGAAATTTTCCAATAGATACTGAAGGTTCCTAAATAGGTCATAAGGGGAATTAATAATTTACTTATGTATAGCAGTGGAAAAATCATTGGACTTATCTTATTTTATCCAGATCGTCTTCATCAGTTATGGACAGAGTGTTCGTGTCTTTGTTCTTTTTAATCAATATCTTGCCATTTGATGTCCACAGGAAGGCGTAACCACATCGCTTCTTGAGGACCTTCGCTTGGTAAAATAAGTTTTTATTTCTTTCGGTTAGGTTTTCAACCACGAACACCTTTGACAAGTCTCTTATAGATGTTGTATTGCTAGAGGTTTTGATCAAGTTTCGATTTTTGAGTATCTTGGCTCGAATTTTGCGGTTTGTGAATTTCGCTACAATTGGTTTATGGATGTTGGTATTCCTTGTTGGACAGCGGTGTGTTACGGAGATGTCTGAAGGCTTTATGTCTACATGGATAATTTTTCCGATTTGTGTTACTAGTTCATCAGTATCTTCATTTTCGGTTGATGGAATGCCATGAAATTCTAGGTTATCCATCCTAGATCGACGTTCGTGTTTTTCTGTGACATAAAATAACTCATCTTCAAGATCGTAAACTAACTCTTCGAGATCTCGTATTTTTTTGCTATGAAGAGTAAGTTTCTCATCTGTAACTTTTTGCTTTGCAATAACTTCGTCATATTTCTCAGATTGGAAGCTTTGTGATTCTCTGATAGAAGCAAGGTCTTGTTTAATTTCTTTCAGAGATATCATCTGTTCCTCCATGCATTCTTTTAGACCTGGACTCATTGGTAGGTATTCTGATGAAAAGTTTGCAGAGCTGAAGTTTTCTGTTAAGCATTTGGCAATTAGGGATGGTAACTGGTTCATGATGTTTGTTTGTATTGCCTCCTGTAGGTTTATCTGGAAGTTAGAGTGTCCCTTCTGTTGTTGCAATACAGATCCAATTGGTGAAAGGCCTGGATCGGGAAGACTTCTACTCAGGCGTTGCGTAGGCTTTGGTTTGGTGGTATTATTGATCGAAGCCATGTTGTTGTGGATGTTTGAGATATACGCTGGAATTGATGTTAAAATAGGCAGCGAAGAATCAAGTTAGACTATTCTGCTAGTTTAGGTTAGATTTAAAACCTTAAACGGAGAATAATAAAATATCAAATACCGGTTGTCCATCTTAAGCTCTGTCCCTTTAGTTTAATCAAAGATAGATTAGATTTACCTTTGGCTTCAACTAGTAGTTTCCCCCTCAAGACAACGTGGGTACCGTACAGGTAACTTGGCGTTCTATGAAACACCTCAATACTGCAATATTCTACCCGATTATCGTAACCTAGGGCCTAGGCTACTTTATTTCTCATGTTCTGTGAGTCCGGTACTGGGTTACGATCTTTTTAGTCACATACCCCCCAGTCTATAGGAAATATAATTCTCCTATTATAACTTACAACTAACATACCAGCACTATAGTCTGATAGTATTCACAGATTTATTAAACTCCAAAAGTGCCAATTCCTTTTTTCAAAGTCAACTCGTTTTTTTCTTTTCGGCTACTTTTTTTAGAATTGCATAATTTGTATTATAGGCTATTTATTTACATCACTCATCAACATAAGTAATCGATGTTGCGTTCCACAATGCGATAGTGTCAGTGGATCTCGCACCCTGTTTTTGGCACCATCAAAGCGAACGGGCAGACAAAATTGAAAAAAATGTGATTGGTCTGCAGGCTGATTCTGATATTAAACACCTGTATTTACGTGACGAATAAAATTTGTGAAGGACACTTGGAAGAAAATGACATTCAAAACAGTAATTTCAAGATTTTAATTTCATAATAAAAGAGAGGAATATCCAACAAAGCCTCACAGTCGCGTCTTAAAATTGGTGCAATACCCAAGACGAACGCCAACTTTGAATAGATCTCCAAAAAAGAGGAAAGTAGCTGAAAAAATGTCATAAAAATTTGCAAGACTTGAAAAAAAGTGCATCAACTTATTCACCCTCCAACTGCAGAACTGGAAATACCAGGATTTATAAAACAATATTCGATTTTTTTCTCAAGCCCTAATCAGCTGCAGAGCAATCAAGTTTAGCTATAAACATTGATTCAGTTGCTATGCTATCTAAGACTGCTGCAAGATTGATGCAGCAGAGAGATGGGCCAGAGCTCTTGGTCAGCATTGTCTATGGATAAATGTTTTGATATTATGAATACTTGGCCTAATTTTGGATATAAAAAAGGTAATCATGGAATTTATGTAGGAGTCTATAATTATGTAAATATTACCTTGTTTGTGAATATGTTGAGCCAAAGATGCCACGCTGGAAAATAACTTTTGACACGTTGAGCACCTTGAAATAAAACATAAGTTATTTCTTATAAATCACAGAATAAGTTGTTTATTAGCAAAAATATTGTCATGAAAATATCACATTCAGGTATGTCTTATCTATAGAATAAAATCCAGAAAATATATTGATGGTAAGATAATTGAATGCATGATCTGTTGGTGGTCCAGCATTAAACCTCTCTTAACACTTTTTGCCCTCTGTCTGTCTGTAGCTCTCTTTTCAATAGCTGTCTTACTTTTGCTCATTCAAGGTAAACTTTTCTTCCATTGCCTCGTCAAGATCTATGAATACTGTCAGTTTATGATCCTCTAACATGAATGAGTCTAGTACGGTACAGGCAGACAGGTAATGTCTGAATGTATCATCAAATTCAGGATCTGATTCAGGGATTTAAACTCGGCAGCTCTGTCTTGTCATATATCAGCACATGGTAGCTCCCTGAATAATCACCCGCTTATGGAAACATACTGATAGTATATATCTAACGTATAGAAATGATAGACTTACCTTTATTAGCCATAATAGCCACTGATTATATAATAACTACAGCCCTTGAGTCCGATGCGACCAACAGATATGGTGAAACTGCAGCAAAACGCTGGGAACTCGAGTGGGCGTTAACGAATCAAGTTGCCGCAATGGAGCGTATCGCGTCAGACACTCCTCATTGGTCAAGGCTTTAGTTGCGCATCATGGTATGTTAGTCGTTGACCACAACCAATCAAAAATAAGCCAACAATGACATAACATGTGCTATCGATTAGGTTGGACTATGTATGTCTGAGGAAGTCTGACCTTGGTCAGACGAAGCGTTACAGAAATATATTTCTGTTAGTGTGTAACACGACTATTGAATCATTTAGAATGACATAACAATTGCAGTTTTTGCAGCCGCTCGGACAGATGTTTAAACAGGCTTCGTTTTCATAGTTTTGCGTGTTACAGTGTTATTCTTTCCAGTTTTTAGTTATGTTTCCAAAAAATAGTTGAATGCCTTAATTCAGTAATTGCCATTTTGCCTTCCGAGGAGCTTTAGTTTGGTTGCGATAATCAAAATTCTCGCGAAGGACGTTCGTGATTACGCAAACTAAAATCGTCTATCAGTTGACTATCTGTGCAAGCGGCTGGGGTTCAATATTTTAGAAAAATGATGCCTTCAAACATGTGAACCAGTTTATAATCGCCAACACTTCAAAACAATCGTAAAAGAATTTTCAATAGTAAAATATCTTGAAAATTTTCTGAGGTATATATATCGCAAGTTATTGTAGAAACATGCACATTTATCCGTCCCGAAGCGGTATACATTGTGTATTGCATATACTGGAGTTGAGCAGTCATGTAACATTCATTGTTTGAAAATATTTATTTTATTTTATTATAAATAATGAAACATTTACGCCGGGTACAATTAAATATTCAAATCAACAACTTAAATGGAACATAAAAAATGCAATTTTTTGTCGATTTTTTTGTATGCAGCGTGTGTGCAGTTATTTGCCCATTCGTTTTGTGCAGACCTTATTACCGATCGCGATCTATTTTGACGATTTTAGTCGATTGCGGTCAAAAGCAGGTTGGCCACCCCTGCAGTTTAGCCCAAATAATATAGTATAAGTCTGAAAATATTCAAGAATCATTAAATTAATCATAAGCCCTCCATACAAGCATGGAACAAACGCATCGTTATTTGTGGCATATCTTTATCTAGGTCTAGTCTTTCTTAAAGTTACCGCACCGTACCTATTTAACAACGTTTTATATAAGAGCTGGTGCTCAACTAAAATTGCACCGTCTTAGCATAACTTAACTAATATTAACTAAAAATAACGATGAAAAGGCTACCCAACTCAACGCAAGAGCGGGCAGTACAAACTGAGATGGCAAAGCTGATGTGGGAATTGTCGAGATACTATTTCGAATTTTATCAGTGAAAAGTGAATTTTTGCGGAAAATTTTTTAAAATATATATACACAATATATATATAAAGACCAAAGTGATATCTACCTTGGCCTAGGGTTGCCATACGCCATATTTTCCCTGACATGTCCGGGATTTTAGTGGTCAAATGTATGTATTGTATATGTATATATATATATGTATATGTTGTATGATTTAGAAGTAAGAAATACCCATTTAGATGTTAGATTATTTTCTAGATTATTTCAGCATTCATTTAGATATATTTAGATTATTTTTACAAATGTTATTTTGCATTATTCTCTAGTGGCAAAGAAGTGAAGTGCAGTTCACCAATGCCTAACATTTGTAGATATAGACTAGAAAAAATACAAAAGGTTTTCCAATCGAAGTTACGGTAATAGTGCTCAAAACAACAAGGAAGGTTCGCCAAAATATTGACAATTACTATTATTACCCTGAAAGTAAGGTGAAGTGAACGCTGTTGTTATGCTAAAATCTGAAGTCAGGAAATACTATTGTTCACTATAATTCTACCCCTACTGCCCTATAAGAATGTCTAAAGAAACAAATGGCAAACGATATGACCAGAAAGATTGGTTAGCGCCCATGGCTGCTGATGAATCTAAGGCAGTGGTTCCCAAACTTTTTTTGAAGATTTACGTATTCGAGTCGCCACCGATCCTAATAACCAGTATAATTAATCAAAGCTTTCTACATCTTTTCACGACCAACTAAGATTCCTTTTGCGACTCACCAGGGGGTCGCTACCCATAGTTTGGGAACCGCTGATCTACGGCATTCTGCAAGTACTGTAAATGTGAAGCCAAAGCAAAATATCAAGATTTGAAGCAGCATACTAGGAGCCAGAAACATTTGAAAGCTTGTCCATTCATTACCAGGGCTCTTGATTCATTTATGACTCTTAAAATCTCCGAAACAGCAGAGCTGGAAGCGTCTATTTCCACATTTTTATGTTGCCACTCTACTATTTCTAATTGTGACCATTTAGTTGATTTATGTAAAAGTAATATCCCTACAAACAAAACAGTGTCCGAAATGAAAATGCACCGAACTAAATGTACCCTTATCATAAGAAATACTCTGTGTGAGCATTTTATAACAGACCTAAGACGAGATATTGGTGATGGCAGATTTAGCATTCTAATAGATGCAGAGATGAGTTCACAGATATAACTGTGCATAAATTATTTAATCAATAATACTGTACTAGGTATATCTATAGTTTATTACGGCATGTCTAAAAAAGATTGTTACCTGTACTTTATTTCGTGCTAGGGTTTAGTCACTACTCACTAGTGCTAAAAATTGAGCAACAATTTTGCTTCTTTCGTTCTGTTCTGTATTTATTCTATTTTCACGACAGCTTGTGAATTTATACCATAATACTGTACAGTATAAGTGTGTTGGTTGCAAAATTGGTCAATGTGGCTCATTAAAATGTTGTCAGGGATTTTGTCTTTCCAAATATGGTAACCCTACCTTAGCCATTATTTTCTACATTACGTGGGAAATGAATCGCCCTATTCTAACTTACAGCTGCACAAACCTTGCATAACGTTGTGCTTAGTCATTATGTTTACTGCTGTTATTATCTTATCAGCGCGTGCTTGATTGCGTGATGTGAATTTGTTTACGATGATACCTTTTCGAGTTTCGGCTTTGGTTTGTTCCAGTATGTAACTGTATCGCGTCAGACACGCATGGCATTCCCATCACACAGATACACGATGCAGGCACACAAGAAGTCGTACCAATATCCACCACACAAGAGCTCACATACAAATTCTCAGATGTTGACGGCATTTGGGTCTTGTAAAAAATAGTGCAACATTTGATTGGTCAAAATTATCATATCAGCGTCGTAATTTGACAACTCCTGATTAGTTCCCCGCTATAGTAACGGCCAGGGACGTAGAAGGCATCTTTCTGCTTGGGTTTCAATTAAGTTAGTGTGGTTCTGATTGTTTACGTTTTGTTTTATCTTCAAGTTTTTTGATACCCATGACGCACTGTAGACCAGGTATGGTGAGTTACTGTAAAAGGTAAAGTTCTGTAAATTATTTGATACTACAGCTGTGACTCGAATCATTTAGCATTTTAATTTACTTTGGCAGAGGACATATGAATCATCATTGTCACAGGACCTGGTAAAGCTAGGCTTTGAACTAAGGCAGTCCGATACCGTTACTAGTAAGTTACGATGGTCCGCAGTATCAGCTTCGTCCGGGATAGGATTCTGGGGGAAATTGTGGGTAAATTATTCCCTTTTTGCTTCCGTGTTCATATATTTATTTGAGCATTGTTCTCTTGTCATTATCATATCAATACAAGTGAGCGATTCATTAGTAGATGGACACGAAGACCAAACGACGTAGTGCGGGTATCTGTCTGTCATTGTAGACTACCGGTACCGCAGTCTTAACGACATCGCCTGACCGTGAACGCCCAACGACAACAAGGTGTGCAATTTTTAATTTTGATGACGTCATTCCACACACAAAACGAATTCCATAGAGCCCACATGAATTTTTGAAATGCATAAAAGTAATAACCTTCTAGCCAAATCATTAACCACTGGAAATTTCAAAGCAATTGGTCCAGTAATAATGAGGAAAGCGATTTTTTCATACGGTTACAACAAGAATACAGAATGACAAAACGATCTATAGGTCCATTTCGTGTTCAAAAGGGTTAGTAAAAGCCTCGCACTATAGATTTAAAGGCGGAAATGTATCACAGAATGCTATTGCTTTTGTGATTTTAAATATATTTTAATCTCAAATTTATTTCCAATATGTCACTGAGTATTGAAATTTTCGACTTTTACTCTCGCCAACAACTTACCCTCCTTTTACGTTTGTATATAGAACAGAAGAAGTCCCAAAAATCGCAAAAAAAATTTTATGCGATGTACAATCAACTTACAAAAATTAAAAAAACTACAGGTATAGGCAATTTAATGTTCGTTGTTCAGTTGTCATGCAAGGTAGCTCAGACATTGAAATATATATGGCAGTAGGGAATCACGTTATATGTATATAATTACTTTTTAACTATATGTACCTAACTCGAATCAGATAGTAAATTTAAATAATTCATGATTCACAGTTTACTTTTTTATCGAATTCGAATTGTATTATATAGTTTCTTTATCTTTAGTCTGTAAAACTCTGTAAACTTGCATCTTGAGGTAAACCAATTTTTTCACAAAGCTTGGAAAAATGGCCTATCGCTTTAACAGAAGATAAAACAAGCTGCCGTGTATCCCTGAAAATGAGACTTAGCCTGAATTTCATGATTTCATGAAAATGATCATAATATAAGCCCTCCCGTCAAAATAAAACCTAATTTCACAGCGCAACTTTTTTTTTTTGACCTAGTCGATAGCAAGAAATCTCTCCCACATTATAAGTAAATGGATATCAGTTTCATATTTTGTATATTTGAAATCTCGTAATTCTCAACTTGTTAATTCTGTTTTTGATAAGACATCTCCCCAAAATAAGCCCTAGTGTTATTTTTCGAAAGAAAATTGAAATAAGACCCTGTTTTATTTTCGGGGAAACACGGTATTAATCATGTGCTCAATATGAAGTTTAAACCTATTAGATTCTTATGAGATCACATTTGCAACTGACAATATGTGAGCAAATGCCGACTACAATCCGTTCATTTGTCTTCTTCTTTTTCTCCTATACGTTCGAATACAATTCGATATATTGTGGATATTGTATAATACAGTACAGATTTGCACAACACAGCGCACGCGTGCTCAATGTGACACTCCGTAACCGTGAATGTGGCACACGGTTGCTGAAAAGTAATTCTTGTAGTTATAATAAATCCTAATAATTCACGTTTTTAAGGAAATGAACTTAAATCACGATAGGTTGGGTCGTTAAAAAGTGATTTATCTATTCATCGTTAATTGAAATAAAATGCTTTTCTGTCGTATTAACTGTTTATCCACACATGGCTATAGGGTTCATAACAAATAGTGTCAGTGTCTGTTTTAAAGACAGTTCGTTAACACCTTTGCATTCTGCGTATCGTTATTTCTCTTTTAAATTCCGCCATTTTAAATTTGGTCCACCGAAAACGTTTTCAAAGCAGTAATTTTTCAGGACATTAAATTGTTACAGTAAATAGATATTCGCCAGGCTTGTCCATGGGACATATTTTTCTGTTCCATCCCATAGCAATTTATGCCTTTTTTTTTTTTTGGATCAGAACGACAAAGTCTGGAATCCAGCCCCAAAGCCTTCATACCCAGACTATGTCGACGGAAGTTTTATGGATCAATTCTCTTTGCCAAAGAGATCACCATTTTATATTCCACATTAAGAGGTAGTCTTCCATTCATCACATCCGCTATAAGTGGGATGGTATAATCTAAAGTTGAGTTTTATGCCCTCAACTGGGCACATTTTTATAGGCGTGATGTTTAGAGACCGAGATAAATGTCAAGTGTATAGAAATTTGATTTGTTGGATTTGAATTTACTTACGTTACAACTACTTTTTCTTTTTGCCAGCTAGTCTAAATTTCATGGTAGTTGAGAATGAGGAGTCTAAGTCGGCAGGGATGTTGCACAGGCTTCGTCCATACACATCAATGTCAACTCTGCGTATGGTATATTATGCTCTGTCCCAGTCTCATATCCAATATGGCATCGCGGCCTGGGGTTCAGCAAGAAAAATGTTATTACGTCGCATAGAAGTTATGCAAAATAGGGCGATTCGAGCCATTACTAATGCCGGACTCTTGTCAAATCTAGACTCCTACTATTATAAGATGCAGATTCTTAAAATTACTGACATCTATAAAATTGAAGTGCTTAAAATCATGCACCAACACCATAATAATAAATTGCCTGCTGCATTCGTTAGCTATTTCGTTAAGCAAAGCGTTATCCACTCTTATGCAACACATTCCTCCACCAATAGCTCTTATTTTATGACCCGCTATTCATCCAGTCGTACACAAAATTCCATGAAGTACATGGGCATAAAACTTTGGAATATGCTCCCAGTTACTATCCGCTCCAAGACCTATAATACGTTCAAACTAGAATTAAAAAGACTGTACCTCAATGCTTATAACATTCAGTAATTTGCCAGTCACCAGGTTGGTCATTTCTGATAGGGTTCTTGATGCCAGTTTTGCAAATGTGATGCTTTTATTGCTGCATATCATTCCTTTTCATTGTTGTTGAATATTTTCACCTTTATTACACAAGCTTTGATGTCTTAAATTTCTTCTTTATGATTCATTATTGCGTAATCTTTCATATATTTAATTCTACTGCCCTGATCTCATTTCATTTATGTAGCTTTAACTTCAAAACTAATCTTCATATTCGTATAGTGAGATTCCTGGGAATTCCCCTTTTATTTATCTCAGCAACGCAGCGTCGTTGATACTGTGTTCACCCGAGCATGACGCTACGAAAATAAATTGACGGTACAAACTCCTTTTCCGACTGACTCTCTCGTTTTAACTTATTTTCCTTTTGAACAATTCTCTCCTAAGTGACGTTTTATCTTCGATCCACATTTCCAAATGTATTCTAAATACTAGTTATTTGACGTCATCTGCTGCTGACCACGGCAATTTTGGTGTCGCTGACACGACGACTTTATAGTTTATTCGCGGCTCCTCGTCAATTGCAATCGAAATATTGTGTTATTTTTTTTTTCCAATAGAATTATTTTTGTGTTCTTTGTTTTAATAATGTAATATTTCATGCATGACGGAAATAAATATCTGAATCTGATGACGTTTCTTCGCGGCTTCTTTTATTTGCATAATCCGAGTTGTCAAGATTTGATTCAGTTAAGTCCACGGTATTTGGTTGTGATTTGTTATATTCCAGAATTGCTGGTGCAGAGGATGTTTCATCAGGTGTGGTGCTGAAGACGGAAGAGGTTGATATGTCCGGAGCCTGGATGTTTTGCACCATCACTCTCACATACGGGTTACTTTTTGATGAAGGATGAAAAGGAGTGTTGCCTATCGTCGACGTTTGTTTCAATCTCGACGATTGCCTTGTTTGTTTGGGCAGTGGTAGGTTCGGCGGTGTTGATAGAGGGCTCAAAACGCTCCCCGCATCTTTGCACTCTGACCAGTTGCTTATTTCTTTTAGATCATCGGAGTTTGAGGAGGATGAGAACTCATGTACCTCCGAGACGAAGTCAGATTCTGGTATCGAATTGCTTTGCTTGTTGTTGGTTGTGGCGTTGTGCGAGCAGTTTTCTGGAGTTGTTGCAGGTTGTAAGACGTTTTGGTTGACTGTGCTTTGTAATTCCCGTATATCCATATTAGGTTGTGCGTCATTTTGTAACTCCATATTAGGTAGTGCGTCATTTTGTAATTCCACAGTAGGTTGTACGTCATTTGGTAGTTCCGTTGAGTTGTTTGAAGTTGCAGCATGTTGTGAAGCATTTCGAATGATATTGGTTTGTAATTCCGAATAAGGTGGGTTGGTTGTCTGCATTCGTCTTCGCTTTGGTATGGTCCACGTATATCCAGAAGTTGTTGGAAAATCATTCCGTTTGGATGGGCAATCCTTTAGAATATGCCCCATTTCTTTGCAATAGCGACAAACGGGTTCGCTCTCACATTCGATGAAATTGTGACCGGGCTTCAAGCACCTTCCGCAGGTTGGCACATACAACTCTCGGGGTAAATACGTCTTACATACAACTCTTTCCATCAATCATCAAATAATCAGGTAATCGATCTTTTTTAAAATTTTCTATAAAAAAAGAGGTATATCCATTATAGATAGCCGTACCTTTGTATCAGTTTCTGGTGGCATTCCGCACTGCAGTCTTTCGATTGTAGCCACAGCCTTTTTGTAAGACGTTTCTCCCGGTATCCATCGAACGGATATTCGGATTGGTGCTTCGGTTGGCAGTGATACCGTAATAGTACCGCCTGAAACTCTTATTTGACCCTTTGTGTCGTGCAAGAATTGATCGCGGCAGCTAGAGTTGGGGTCGTCGGTGGCGGCAAAAGTACAAATCCACTGACCTTTTCTTCCCTCGAACAGTCCCGTGATGTTGTCGACATAGTTGCGGGACGCTGAGTCGGTCTTCAGGATGTCGAACAGTCGAGGGAAGTCCAGGTCTTCGGTGGTGGTCAGGAACAGAGTGCGAGGCCGTGTAGTCGGTGCAGATGTTTCTTCTCTTGTAGGTGTAGACGTTGTTGAGGCAGCTTCGGCGTAATTCTTCTTCGTTTCTTTTCTTCTTCGCTATCGAGGGCCTAACCCGGTGAAGGGTTGCCTTAATCAAAACTTTCATCCCACGAGATTCTCGTTGGAATACAATTTAATAAAAATTGTTAAATTTAGGTTTAGCGTCCATCCTATTCCCATGGACAAGCATGAATATTCTTATTTGTTATTATGTGTCTTATTGAAGTTTGCTATTATGTGTTTTACGGAAGTTCGTTTACAATACCAATAATTATTCTAATGTGGCGTGCCACGCAAAAACATTATTTTATAATTTTCGCCAAGAATCCTCATTTGAGTTGTGCACACTTGGTTCAATATATATGTCATATGAATCATATAATCTTGTATTGCAAAAGTTGTTGAAAATTTTTCTCAATCATCACTCCACAACTGATATTGCATAACTATATAGAAATAATGCTATAAATCACATTTACTAATTTGCGATGTATTTCCATTACTAAGAGTAGTGGAAACATATATTAGGCTATTTGATTACGTTAGTATAATATGATAATAATAAGAGCAGGTTTATAATATATGATATAAACCAATTTTATCTCAAACACTATTTCTCACTCTATCAATGAAGCTACTGGCTTATCATATGGGTATGCAAATATGAAAAATAGACTGATCCCATTTTCCGAAACGGTGTTAAAACATTTATAGCATAAGTGTATTGGTTCAATTTATATTTGTATATATATATATATGAGTATTCTTTCTTTTCAGTTTTTTTTTCAATTTTTATGTGCAAAAATGCTTCCAACGCCATGAATTTTGGAAAATAGAATCAAACTATAACATCTAATTAGTCACATTGAAGCTTTTCGGCTATTTTCTTTCAACCTAATTATCGATCATGTGAGAAGGCATCACTTCGTTCCAGAATTTTGCTACTTTTTCTGATAGATTCTCTCCGACCGAAAGCGGAGTATCAATAACGAGGTGTCTTCCTTTGGAAACGTACTTTGGCCACTTCGTATCTACTTTTTGTCCTTTATTTGGATCTCTTAAAGGTAGTTAAAGCAAGTGAACATTTACTAGTACTTCTTATATGATCAGATAATACTAATTAAAATTCAAAAATTAACAATACCAATATAGCAATATACCGTCTTCTTCTCAGTTAGAAATGAAAGGGAGCATATAAATACATATCTGAGTCAACGTTCCGGTGGAATTGTTACAGAATTTTAATTTACAAAGCGCAAAGTTAGCGTGTTTCACGCGCTTCACGCCATTGTGATATCTCCGAACCTAACATTATCTTGCCTATAAATTAGTTTCCGTTTACTTTGTTTAATGAAACTATCAGCTTCAAAGAGACACAGTCACAGCGTTATGGTGCTCTTATTTCAGTATTAAATCAAGAATTTCTTACCCTGTTTTAGCAAAATTCGTCAAATATTTCATGAACTGTCTGCTCATTTCTTTTTCCTCATTGGTATATTTTGTGCCTAATGGAAGCTTGTTTGTTGTGAAAGGTATTCCAAACGTCAGCAGGATGTCGTCACTATGATCGCAATCGCACCAATATGGCCGTTTACCCACTTCTGGTCCGTATTCTTTATCTTGAAACAGCTTTAGATTGAAATCGCCGTGATAGAAATATGTCGGTGCACCCGAAGCTAAAATATGATGGCACAGTAATGGTAAATATGACGTATGCTCCGTGGATCGGATTTATAGAGAGCCTAACTGGCGCACAATATTACCCCAAGCATAACTGTATGATTCCCGGATAATAACTATTATAAAATATATTACAATACCAGAATGAACTGATGCAATCTCTACAGCTGGTGCAACAAACATTGCGTCACCGAGTATATTTCCCATTAGTTTGCTCCATTTTTGCAAGTCTTGGTCGTCTGCAGGATAGAATTCTTTGCACTTTTCAAAACCCTCTTTTGATAGCTTAAAACATAGACAGACATGTAACTGTAATTTGTCTAGCAACATTTTACACTTGCATTCTATGTCACAAGGTGATATTGCCTATTTGGTACTTTTTGGCCACGACACATGTTTAAAACTCATTTGAAGTTTTGAAAACTTTTCTGAATATTTAATCCTATTCCTTGTTGCTTCATGTACCAAAGTGGATTTAAAATAATTATCTTATCTATCTGTTATGTCGGAATAGAAGGACAAACTGAAAAGGAGTTAAAAATATGATACTTACTGGTATATATATTGCCTTGAATACTTCCTCTTCTTCTGCAATTCCGGTTAGATAATTGGGTGATAGAAAAACTGATAGAATTCCATGACCTTCTGATTTATTGCATCCAATGATATACGGTATTTTTGCAAAATCTTTATCTTTCACATACTCTTCTGGGTTTTTTGAAAAGACGTTTCCATCAAATGTTGGTACAAACAAGACTTTTTGCTGCAACGTAATTACTGTTCTACGATTACAAATATATATATTCGAGATACGTTATTTTCATCATCGATTAATACAATAGAATGCTTACTAGAGACAAATCCATGGACGCATTTACCAAATCATTGGCTGGGATTTTTTGTAATGCTTCTAGTATTTTACAATCATCTTCTTCTTCAATCTTCAAATGCGTCAAACATTTTTTAATTTTCTCGGCATTTTTTTCAGCGGTCTGGAATAATCCTGTCAATCATACATTCTATTTAAATTTCCAATGATATTTAAACTAAATTAGACTCATTTACAAGGTGCGATTTACGAGAATATAAATTGATTGTGACGCTATTTATTGTTAGGGCATGCGCATTATATAAAAAGAAGTTCTCAAAGTTCAATTTTTATAATATTGCATGATATTAAAGCGCAGTCACAATTTATGTAATAACCTCTTTGGGCTTGATTGTGATTGATATTATGTTCAATTTAAACTTGCTATAGCTAATTCCAGACGTGCAATCATTAAAATAAGTAGCCAGAAAAATATGAATGATGTACATCAAATATTATATTTCAATGTTTGTCACTCATTTTATTTACCAAACTCTATTTTTGTAAACTACACCTACAGTTGAACACAATTAAGCTGATGAATATGATAAGCTGGATGAAGTCTACAATTATTTTCATTTGATACAAAATTTTTAGATATACTCCACAGTTGTTGTCTGTTACCTTTCACGATTGCTTGTCCACTGTGGCTTATCGCTTTGTGAAATAGACCACGTGCGAGAGGAGACAACATTTGCATGTTTACTGAGATTCCTCCCGCACTTTCACCGAATATGGTCACATTTTTCTTGTTGCCACCAAACACGTCAATGTTTTCTTGCACCCATCTGAAAAATCGAATATAAAATAAATCAGAAAAAATAAGATAAAAGCAATGTTTTATTTGAAGTGATTTGACTTTCTTACTAGCTGAGATGTATTTGTTTTAAGTTCAGACCCATAGAACATACACGTGATTCCATCTATGTGAATATGCAATAGATTACATTGTTTTCATACAACACGATGTAGTCTCGATAGCTTGGGTGTGTAGCCGGAGCTGGGAATCGGCATGTTCTTATTGAAGACGTTGTCGTATTTTTCAATCCATTAGAATCGGAATTTTGAATTCCCCGGTGTCAGGAGTGGAATTCAAACTTTCATCGTGGTTATCAAAATCAAAATTTAGGAGGAGAGGAGTTGAGCTGGACGTGGAGTCGAAATTTCCACACCAACCTGGAGACGGTAGCTGGAATCGGATCCGATTTTTTTTTTAAGTTTTTAAAATTTTATTTTATCGAGTCGGAGTCGATTGTAAATTTCTTTCGACTTGGTAGTCCTTAGCTGACTCTCGCAAATCTGCCATCGTACCTATACATAATAGTCAAAAATACGAGCAATCATAAGCAATACATAAATGTGAGTTGTGAGTGCGGTATAGTTTTAGTAAAGCAATGTCGAATAAACTTACTCAAAAAAGGAAATCATTAATAGCAAGTAATGTGAAACCGTGCAGATATAGTGTATTGCCCATATGCCCAGTATAGAGCAATTGGATAAATCGCTTGTATGCTACCTCAATGCCATCTGTTGATCTAACAATCCAGCATTTCCCGTACAGATCGAAGAAGGTCCAAGAGAGAGAAAGCCGAATATCCCAACCCGGTAATTAGGCACAACGACGACAACATCGTTCATTCCAGCCAGCATACTTCCGTCATAGAGACGTTCCGAGCCCATGCTGAATCCTCCTCCAAACAACCACACCATCACCTGTGATACAGTGTTATAATTATGATAAACATTCCATTTATGTGAGGGAATTAAAAACGATTAAAATAAAAAAAAACATTACTGGGAGTTTTTTGTCTTTTTCTAAATGTGGAGTATAGACAGACACATGCAGACAATCTTCGTCTACAATCAGTTCGCTGTCACAAGTATCGGGCAATAGAATATATGGTCTAAACATGTCATCAATGACGCGGGCATACATCGGTACACTACCAGCTACTGTTCCATCTCTGACTCCACTCCATGGTTCGACTCTGAAATGCTCATAAATTTCTTATACAAAGTGTAAAATAAAATAACGAAATTTTATAGCATAATTTGTATATACATTTGAGAATTGTACATAATTGTCGCCTGGGTTGAGCCTGGTCTGGGAAAAACAGGGGCATTGAGTCAGTTTGCCATCAGTTCGTTCATGACTGTGTTCGAATCTATAATTTTCAGAACAATTTTCAGTCAAGCCTGGAAATCAAATTGATACAATCTCTATCTAGTTGCTATATCACGTTATTGCATGAATGATTTGAAAAAAACTATTGTGGCATAAAGTTATGCCAAACACATGGCCAGAAATTTGGATTCTTACTTCGAATTCATTTTAATTTGGTCACTCAAATATTTTTTCTGACTAAGATAAGTCCGTGTACTGAGGTATATTGGTTCAATGAAATTTTTCTCGCCCCAATCCCGACTAACCCATCTAATAAGCCATATGGGATTTCATAGTCGATCACCATCAATACGGGAAATAGAGTTTGATATTTTCAACCTGCGACGTTATCACGATTGTCTAACTAAGATACATGATACTCTAATCCAGCCATTATGATAAATGTAATGAGACTACTTACGGTTGAGGTGGCATAAATCTCAGGCTTCCTACTGGCGGTTTAGCGAAAGGAATATTTCGAAATACGTGCACCAACTTTGCATCCTTCACTTTTAAGTCCACAATTTTACCTTTCACTTTTCCCTTAGGAGTTGATACAACAGTAGAACTCATGTCGATTTTATTTCAAAACGAAATTGCTTTCGTGTTCTTGAATACAATGTGTTACAATCATTTACAGAACTGGTTATTCGTACTTCTATCACATCTGAAAGCAAACGATCGCGAAGTGTAGAAATATAAATAGTCGACGAACTGTTAAAAAAACTAACAATATCACCATAAAATTATAACAATCACGCTTCGGTACTCGTAATCTATATAAATTCAATTATTCTTGAAAGAGAGTATTTGTAATATCATTTGTTATTCGAATCTGTACTACAGCATAATTTTACTCGTTGCGATTTTGGACATCACAGTGTCACTGAAAACTTTCAGTACAATTGTTTAGTCTTTTCGAAAGCAAACATTGTCATCGTGATCTTTATTTGAATAGTACTTTTGACAAAGATCATAAAAGGAAACGAATTGGTTTTAAAGATGAACTTCTTCTGATTTGCTGATCATATAAATATAAACGCATCATATACCTCAAATTTTACGAAAGAAGGGATAAAAAAGTTGGATAAATACACGTAGTGGACTTACGGATACGTTTTGTTGTTAAGTTGTTGTGAAAAAATCGTTTTTCACTTTATCTAATTGACCAATTTCTTTGAAATTTACCGTGGTTAAAGCTTGTTGTTGTGGCTAAAAGTATATTACTTGTATTTATTTCGAACATTTCTTTGAGTTTTATGGGATTCGTTTTCCACTTCGTGTTCTGTGAGATGATGTTGTCAAAATTGCGCACCGTGCCGTGCGTGATTTGATGGTCAGACTACCGGTACTGTAAAAGATTTGTTTCTACTACTTCGTTTTGGGTTTCTTGTCCATATATCTGAGCATTGTTTATACGAGCGTTGAATCGATACTGACTAATCTAGGCTGGTCCAAATGAAAACCGGATATGGAATTCGTTAGAAATCAAATGAAAACGCATTTTGCATGAAAATAAGGGAGCTCTGAAATATGATATTGATATTATTCCTAAATTGATGGTGGAAAAGACTAGAGATTTTTTTATTTATAGCACGTTTTAAAAAATTTAGGATCATCTAATTGTTTTAGACGTGAGATTCCTGATCAGATAACACTGCTTTAAACGTTAATTAAAATTATAAAACGTTAATTTTTAGAAATTAGGGTAGGAATTTTAAAAGTTGAAAAACTATAATCCCAAATTTTAAAGTTATGCTGTTTTCACCTATAAATACACTAAAAAAAAACTCAATAAGGTCTTCTTATGACGGGATATCTGAATAGGATATCCAAAACATCTTTAATATGTAACTATACTTTCGTGTTTAAACAAAAACCTGTTTGTGAAAGATAAGTATACAAATGTAGCAAAAATGGTATAAACTTACTGATATTTAGCAATCAATCATACTTAACGGGATCTACGTATTTCCTATTTATTTCAAATTTAATTCTGAGGTTAATTGAGTGCACGTTCTGGCTTTACTCGTCTAAAAGTTGGAATAATCGGTAAAGCTGTTAGTTGAAGCAAATATTTGTGGGCAGCAATGACTAGGCTGCACGTTGACATATGTTTATTCAGGCCACTAAAAAATGAATATGAAATAACTAGAAATTAAGGGTTAAAATAATAAGTGCATGCGAAATAAGGTCCATGAAATTATCATATTTTGACGTCAAATGAATCACATTGTCATAAAATCTAAAAATATTCTCAAGTCAATGTAATCAAGTCAAATTACTTACGTTATAATATATTATAAGTAAGGTTATGTTTTTTTTTTTCAGCAGTGTAGGCGTTTGCATGATGAACGTGTGGGTTTGAAAGTTACTTTGAGTTAATATCGCACTTGTATTCATATTGAAAAGGTATTGCAGGGGGAAATGGCTACCTCAATAGTATCTACAAAGTACGGTAAAATCAAAGGAAAGATTGTGCATCTCAAAATTGAAGATGCAGAACCAGTGCACGTTTTCAGAAATATCCCATTTGCAAAACCTCCAATGGGAAAATTACGATTTATGCCGCCTCAAAAGTAAGTGAACGGAAATGAATAAAAACTCTATTTTTTAAGAAATATTAGTAATCATATTTTCGCATTGAGTGTTTTAATCAGAACTTCTTATGTTTTAGTGGTCTAGCGTCCAGTGATTTGGAAGAATACAAACAGTATCTTCTTTTTCAAAATATTTTAGAGCCGAACCGTGGAATGGAGTGAGAGATGGCACTGTTGTTGGAAACTGCCCGATGTATTCGAAACATCTCGATGAGATAACATTTGAATGTCTTCCATTGCCTGTTCCATTCGTCACTGAACCTGAAATAAACGAGGATTGCTTGCATTTATCAATATACACTACCCATCCAAAAAATGACCGTCTCAAGTTACCGGTTAGTTGTAGACATTTTTATGAGAGCTCATTTCTGATATTATTTAAATATTGTATTTGATCTCCGTCAAATTGACGTATCCTTAGAAAACTAAATGATTTTGAAATTAACGGTCTTATATTGTATACAATATATTGTATCTATTATTGCATCAACTTTTAAACGGTTCCATTTAATGATAGCGAGTACCAATTAGGATGTATATAAAATTATTTTAGGTAATGGTGTGGTTATACGGAGGAGGTTTCACCAGTGGTTCTGAGAGTTATTATGACGGAAGTGTATTGGCTGGAATGAACGATGTAGTGGTTGTTGTACCAAACTACAGAGTTGGAATATTTGGATTCTTTTCACTTGGTCCGTCGTCCATTTGTACAGGAAACTCTGGACTACTAGATCAGCGGATGGCATTAAAGTAAATATACGACTTTTGGTATATATAAAAGTGAAATATACAGTGAGACCACAAAAACATAACTCACAAATTTCTCAATTACTTCTAAGAAAATGCAGCGGATTTATTTAATTTTGTTTGCACCTGAACTTCTGTTTGTGTATAAATTTAGGACGTTTTGTACAAAAGTTATGTTCTTTCTAAGTCTAGAATATGTTCCAAATGACATTGGAGACATTTTCATGGAAGTGATTAGGAATTTTATTGATTTCTATTTTCATTGGGTTACTCTCATAGAAGGCCCCATGAGTATGACCCGACTATAAATGAAATTAAAATCAACTTAACATATGCCACAAAACTAATTCCAAACTAATTCAGTCATGTTCAATTTTATAACAAGAAACATGCTGAAGTATGTTTGCGTTAGGTATAACTATTCTTGCTGTATTCCAATATGCAATAGCTTACTGATCGTAAATTAATAAATTTTCCTACTTCGGGCGGCGGATTTGACAAAATAGCACACCAATAGCAGTAAAGCCTAATCTCACCCTTCGTCACGAATGCAAATTGAAATGTCATAAAATTGCAACTGGACAATTGTTCTCATTATTTTATTCAAGATGGGTACAAGAAAACATTGAACAATTTGGTGGAGATAAAGATAATGTAACCATATTTGGCGAGAGTGCTGGTGGCATTTCTGTCAATCATCACATGATAACGTCGATGTCCCATGGTTTGTTTCACAAGGCAATAAGTCACAGTGGTCAATCTACAATGCCAGGTGTGCACCATCTTAATTTGCATTTTTTTTTTGCCTTTTACTTAACAGAAGATTACATCACATAACCAATGGTTGGCTACGGCTTTCTGCACATTCCAACCCATGCATATGTCGTCGAGAACTTATTAGTTATTTATTCCCTCGTTCAACCTGAGATGGTATCCTCCTCAGAGGCCTTGATTTTTATATGATTATTTTCGTCTTACCAAGAATGATTATTCTGATTATTTTCATTTCCCCAGAATGAATTTGAAAATTGCATTTTATTTTTCAACAAGATTTATAATAACCAGTCATCAAGATGTAAAGAAATTTGAAACATTTTTATTGTTCTATTGATTGTTTAATATTGCTTATTTTAGTTTAATAATTGGGATTTCTAACTTTTGAGGGACAACACGAGTACTCCAAAACACAAGCCTAGCCCCAAATATTATTTATTTGAATGTCAGCAGCAGGTCTAACATCTCAACATTTTTAATAGGCGGTTTATTGCGTTTAGAGACTCAACAAAACTGATTTAGAAAATCATACTAGACCAGTGTTATAGTTTTTTGAATAATAATGACTCAAGCCAAACTTTCAACACTTATATTGTTTAATCTATTTACAACACCTGTGACTACGTGATGATGGAAATAATTTTTTTCAAATTCTCGTACAATGCCTACAGAATTGAATACGTTTTTTTTCAAATGCCAGGTTTATTCAAAACTATTGAAGAAAATAACGAGCAAAATAAACGTCTTTTTCAACATTTGGGGATAGAGAGAAATGATGACAATCAAATTTTGGAAGCGATGCAAAATATCCCAGCAGGCGATTTAGTCAAAGTTTCATTCGAGCTGGAGGCGGTAAAACTCCTATCATTGAATATTTTAATTCAATATTCATTTCCCTATAGAATTCGAAGGAATGCCATACAGTAATGAATAGCTACATACTCAAGCAGCGTTTTTGTTAGACTTTTCTGTCGTTTAAAAACAAGGTAAACATAGTAATTCTGTATAAAATTAATTGCAGAAAGGAGTAGCTTTCACACCCTGTATGGATAACAATTTCTTCCATAAAACACCTAAAAAATCATTGGAAGACAAAGACTTTATGAAAGTGCCCTATATAATTGGAATCAATAATACAGAAGGACACGGCCTGATACGATTACTCTTCTTTGCCAATAAATCAGAGAACTTAACTGAGGCAGAAATAAAGAATTTTCCGTTTGGTCCGGTAAGCTTGCTCTGATACTTTTATTTCAGTGTCTTTTTCGTTTCCATCTACTTCCTATTAAAATCCAAGATTGGTTACTTCGACAAGTATTTTAACAGCTATCGGAAAAAGAGCTTGAGAAATGCAAACAGCTTTACATCAAAGATAACCAAGATACCGCAAGATTTGCCAAATTAGCTGGTGACATTATAGGTGATTCGATGTTTGTTTCAAAAGCTATTCAAACTGCATCTATATATACAGGTAAGCTTTTTCAAAATTTGTAACATTGATGTGACGTAATTATGATATGTGGTTCCTTATTTTAAAAATGCTGACTACTTGAAAATAGTTCATATAATTGACAAGACATGATTGTATGCTGTACTTAAAATACTAGGTCATATTTTTGAAATGTCTGAATAATATTCTGATATTAGAATGTTTACATATTCAAGGTAGTGAACAACCTGTTTATATGTACTATGGGACCTTCCAACTCAGAATGTTTCACGAAAAAGAGTACGGCAGCGACGTACAGAAGAAAGTTAGCTGGTGTTTTTGTGACCATGGGGATGACGTTGTTATGACCTTTGGGATGCCATTTACACCATACGATATGCCTTGTGGTGCAAAATTTTCTGACGAGGAAGCTGAGATAAGTCGTGAATTCATGAAATATCTGACTAATTTTGCTAGAACTGGGTAAGTTGTTTGTTTACTTAGAAGACTTTTTTCATTCCTGCTCCTTAAAAAAGACTGGATGCTGACGTTACCTGTTTACTGCATAGTTTTGCAAAAAAATAAGAAAAATACGTTTTCTCTAATTCGAGTAATTTTTTCGTCTATATTTAAACACACGTTGGTCCCGCCTTACAAAATTATTGTGCGATAGTCGCGCGCGAACAGACGGTTAATAGTTACCGATATTATAACATTGTGTAATATGCGCGGCCACACGAGTAATACGTCGTCCCCAAATGCACCGTCGATCACGCGCCTGGGTTTTGCTCGGCACTGTTGCACAACCTAATTCCTTTTTGTTACAATTTAATATGTTTTCCCACTGCTAAAAGCATTCAATAGTGTTATTGTCGGTACTTTCGAGATAAATGAAAGAGGCAAACAAACTGTATTCTATTACAACAATTAATTATTATCCCTAAAACATTAAATTGGTTTGAAATTGTTATAAACAATCTTCATAGCGAGCGTATCTTTCCTCGTTATGGATTTCGTGCATGTCCGAGTATAATTTGCTGGCGAAGATCATAGCCTTTACTATGTTGAAACGCCTTTTCAGACCACTAAAACTATCCAAAAAAGATAACCGTTTTTGTGTTCGAGATATGAAATATTCGTCATTTCACACAATGCTTCGATGAAGCAGTGCAACTTACTAAATTCAATGAAGGTTTTATTGAGTTTTATTGCAGCAGTGTTTAACTAGCACGCGTTACGCGAGATTACTGGCGTGATTACCGATCGCAGGGGTGTGCAAACTAGGATGATATTTCTATCAAATCGGATAATTCGAATATTTTTTAACGAATTGTCGAATATCGGATATTTTTATTATATATACAAAAGACATCCAGAACGCCAGACATTCTAATGTTCGTGTGCTACATTTCTACCAGTCCTCTTTTTACGATAACCAATATTTACGCAACGGCGAAGTTTGGTTTTATATTGGTGGAAGAACTGTGTGTTCATATCGGCGCCATGTGTTAAAGGCAGCTATTAAGAAGCGAATTTGATTTTATTCCAATTTTTATCTTTTGCGTCGGTTTTGATCTTTTTCGCCACAGTTTGCAAATCAACTGTCCCAATTTCAAGTAAACAATGTGATCATTTCTGACACCGGAATGCAGATATATATGAAGGCGATAATTGACCTTTTTCATATTTTACTTTTCTATCGTGCCTCTTTTTCGTATTAAATAATCAAAACGCTGCAAAATCATTGCGTGAATCCTGAATGATATTTTGAATGACTCCTCAAATTCGTCGTTTCTGTTTGTCAGCAAGTGCCGTGAGGTTATTCTCGCAGAATTCGAAGGTTCGGTTTAGTGACGCGCAAGTTCCCTGTCCAAGCAAAGCGGCCTAGATACTCGATTTCATGAGTAATAAAATGACATTCTAATACTCAGGTCTCAGAATAATATTAAAAGGTTATTGTTACGTAACGATACACCGCGCGTTGTGTTTGGTTGGCGATCCAAGTTCGCCCTCCCCCCCCCAAAAAAAAAAATTATGGGAAGTGTCCGCCCCTGGTTCCGAATAGCAGAACAATTGCGTTGTTTAACCAGGTTTACCAATGAAATGCATAATCTACAAACAGCGTCATTTTCCAGAGATCCAAACAATGGCAAAAAGGTGAACGTAAAGTGGCCAAAATACACACCGAAAGGCCAGCACCTCAATATAGCAAACCCATTTTCACTCGGAAAGGACTTAGCGTCCGTGGAAGCTGATTTTTGGAACAACCAAATGGCAATTTAGGAGAGCCGAATAGTACCAGGAACATCAGGAGAATTTTAAAAAAATAACAATGCAAGGAGACTGTTGAGAACTGTTGTGCCTTTATACTTTTAGATGTAGAATAATTCCGAGATCCATGAGTGCGTATGCTTGTACAAGCATTCTGTACGAACAAGAAATTAAAATGAAACTGTCATTAAATCATGAATATTTTCTTAACGTCAACATTTTCTATTTCATTATGCCCTTTAATTGTTATGTTGGATGACAAAATGCTCGACATTTTGAAAAGTAACAAAAAGTCTGTGAATAAAACATAGTAACAAATTCCGTTTCCGTGTATTTGTATAACTTTGCATGTTGTTGTTGGATTTAGTAAGAACTTCCGTATTTGTGGTGCTAGCTAACGTGCTTCATTGAATTCAAAATGAAATAAGAAGTTTTTTTTGCGCTGCATACTCGAATTTCAGCAGTTGCTGAATTTTCTGACTATGTGAGATACTTGATGCTTACTAGTACAGCCGTACTTAATCAAGAGGGCTGTACAATAACAATGACATATCATTTACTATCCGAGTGAATGAAAATGTAAAATGCGAATTTACTTCAACGATCGTAACTGAATGAAGATATTCCATGTTTCTAACCATACGAACAAGTATTGTTGCAAAGAAATATCTCTCTATACAAAAATAGTCAAGCAGAATACTTGAGATACTGTTCTGGGCTAAGCGTTTTTTTATGTTTCATAGCGCTTATAACATCAGTGTTTTTTGCGCCATTGATCAATTCGAAATAAAAATCCTATATTAACATATTATACAATATTTACAAATAAATAGTTATATAAAAAAATCAATTATATTAAGTAATTAATCCTAAATATTTCTGCCACCATAGCCAAAAATATTCAATAACAGTTTTAACTAGAATTCGGTTGGAAACCGAAGACGTATCGATCGAAGGTTAGGGGATCCCCCAAAACAGTGGTCTTCCTCCATAGTGACACCGTGTGTCCCATCACTAATCAATTATTAACTCGCTAATTATACGACATAATCCATCCAAAATCAATAGGCTTCTGATCCGAGCTATGATGAATGCACATGCAAAATTTGGAGCAGATTGAACCTCACTTTCGTGAGATATCGCGTGCATCTAACAGACAAACAAACAAACAATCAGACAAATACCTATCAACATCTTAAGATCGATAAGTAAAAATACCTATCAACATACTTACCGATCTTAAGATCGATAAGTAATAATGTCCATGTTACTAAGCACTTCTTCCAAAGTCAGTTCCAGTTTAAGTTTTCTGACTTTGCGAATGACTGGGATTATCTGATGAATATATTGTTGACAATGCTGTAGGTATTGTGCTACGGTCTCAGGTACAGAACGCTGTCCGCAATATCCGTCGGGGTGACAACCAATTTTATGTAAATGTGCATTCAGGGAGCAATGACCGGTTTGCAAGCGGAATAAAAGAACTTGATATTTGCGTGATGAATTAGCGTTTTTGAGTCGTGAAATCGTGGTGGGATAAATTCTTCTATACTGGCTTGCTAAATCGCTATTAACATATTCCGTATTCCAGCTTTCTTGAGTTAATGTATCAAAATAGGATTTCGCCTTTGAGATGGAAAGTGAAAGTATTGAATCAATGGAAAGTTTGTTAATTGCTTCTTTTGCCAGAATATCCACTATTTCGTTTCCGATAATTCCTACGTGAGCTGGTAACCATAGGGATGTAATTTGTATTCCTTGTTTTGTCAACACCGAGGTTATAGTTGCTATTTTCGCAATTAATAAGTTCTTGAATGCTTAATAGTCAAGAAGCGATGAAAAGGCCATCGAGACAATCCGTTGTAATCAATACGCGTTTCGATCCATCTGAGACAAATATTGGTACAGTTCCAGTGTATGCGAAGAGACGGAATGATGTAATTTCAAATTTATCTTCACTTTACCCGAGGCACATAATATTGCTTTACTTGAATGTCGTGATGACTGATGGCGGTACAGTATTTGAATGTACGAGTGACTGTGTGCACAGTAAACGCTTGTATTAAACCGTTACTCTCAAAGTTAGTCTGCGCTATTCAACGCCAATAGTGCATTATAAGTAGGCCTATATCATAACTTTATGCTAGTTGAAATCTCACATTTCTAGAATCGGGAGTATGAATGCACCAATAATTACTACAAAGAATGGACGGGTCAGTGGGAGAAGAGTGGAGCTGAAGGTTAAGGATGCGAAACCAGTTAACATATACAGAAATATTCCGTTTGGCAGACCACCGACAGGAAAACTTAGATTCATGCCTCCTCAACCGTAAGTATTATGCGAGCGTTTTAAATGGATATTCTTGTCTCTCACTAATTATTGTCTTTTTAGAACCATGTGTGTCGGTTAACATGTAGATCAGTGGTTCCCAACCACAGTGCATCAGCACATTAGTGTACCGCGGAATGATTATAATCAAGATTATTATAATTATTGGTGTGTCGCGACGAGATTTTAATTTTGTATTTATTTCAAGTGATTTCAATTTACAATAAACAGTTGAGAGACATCGACTTACAGATGCGCATTTGGAGTTAAAACTCGGAAAAAAGATGACAGTAAACTAAGCTGATCAGGTATTCAGTCATACTGTAAGCCAAGCACTGAAAACGCTTTTTCACCTCGGGTGATGCCGTGATCCTTCTCTTCAACTGTTTATTTACATTCTCTGGATTAAATTTACTATGTCGCTGATACTTAGTTCCTAGTCGTATTCAGTGAAAGTAGCATTCCTTATCATATTTTAGCATGAGGCGGAAGTGGATGTGTGTGGATTACTTGGGGAGTGAGTGTGTGTGCGCGCATATTCTATAGCAAAATGCTTTTATGAGTAGAAAATGTTCATGTTTTGTGGTAGGTGTGCCGCGAGTATTCAGAGAGCTGAATAATGTGCAATAGTAATAAAAAAGGTTGGGAACCACTGACATGGATGTTCAAGAAAAGGAGAAAGGGGCCAGAATAATCGGCAATGTGAGTATACCCACCTATCTAAAAGTACCTCAGGCCGACCGACATGTATATATGGGTGCTAATTGGCATGGTCTTATGCCTGTATTCGTATTTTTCCCGGGATATAGATTTGTTCTTGGCACAGAAGATTTTACAGTAGTACACCCAATTGTAATATTATATTAAATCTCATGATGTACAAATTTCAGAGCTGATTCATGGGAGGGTATAAAGGATGGCACTCATGTTGGGAATATGCCGATGCAAATAAGTTTAGAAGAAGAACTGTTGACCAAATATCTTCCCATGCCTGACCCAGGCACTTGTGTGAAAGTTATGGACGAAGATTGCCTTCATCTATCTGTTTATAGTCCACTGGAAAGAAGTTCAAGAAAACTTCCGGTATTTCGTGCTACATCACATATATATACAGCCAAATTCGCGCACAGTATCGCATTACTTCTTACAAAAATTTCACTCAAAGCTTAATTGAAAATATGTTCCGTAAACTGAATTTTATTAGCGCCAAAAAACTTATGTTATTCATACAAAAATAAATCTTAGTAATAAAATGACGAAAAATTAGCCGAATGTGAGATTGTTAATCTACATTTTTCACCACAATGAAACGATTTTATTTTGGGAAAGCGATCACGACTCGTCCACGAGTAATTCAGAGTGCACCATTTTGCCAACGTTTTTTGACATCTTTTTCTGCCTTCCAACATAAAGACAAAAATTCTATTCGCAGGTCATGGTGTATATATACGGTGGTGCCTTCACAATTGGTTCAGAAAGAGAAGTTGATGGAAGTGTGTTAGCTGCATTGAATGACGTTATTGTAGTCGTTCCTAACTACAGAGTTGGTGTTTTTGGATTCTTTTCCCTGAGTCCTGATTCTGTTTGCGCTGGAAACGCAGGATTAATGGATCAACAGTTGTCTTTAAGGTAAGGTCTTTAATTAAGTTGAAGTTTACTTGGGATGCAGTCAGGGTTGTCCAAAACGAATCGAATATTCGAATGTATTCGAATATCAAAGTATTCGAATACCTTTTCGGCTGATTTTCGAATAATTCCGAATAGTAGTCACTTTTCGCCGTAAACGTGGTGTTTCGTTTTACGGGAATCTTTAAACGACTTTTTACGCTGTCTCACGTAATGACGATGAAATAGAATCGGCACTTTGATTGTTTATATTCTTTGCGACAGCACGTCGCATAGTGTTGCGACACATTTGTACGTGGACATTGCCGACATTCGTGTACGAGGCTTTTAATTTACAAATTCAAAATTGAGAAAGTATGTTTATTTTATTTCTATGTGGCCTAATTATTATTCGCATGAGTCTTCTCAAGCATGATTTGTGTAACCTTATATTTGGGTCTTAGGGTCTGCCAATCATGATATTTATTCGCAAGCCGGTTATCGTTACTTTAAAGAGAAACACGGCCACCGAGATAAAGTGATTTTGTGACCCTTTCGTTTTGCTGATTCAGCAAAACACGACAGGGACAGGAAAACACAGCTGTGAAATAACCCGTGGACGTACAGTGTAGTACTTATCATCACATTCCAAAATTATTTCAACATTCGGGTTAATAGGTTGTCCAAAATGATTGTCGCTTCACAACTTAAATTTACCGCTCAATTGTTAAAAATAGTTAATTCTGTGAGTATGATTCTACCAAACTAACATGATCTGGTTCTGAACATATAAAATTATTAGCGAATTTTTCGACCCGTCTTATTGGAGGCCTATATGGAAAAACCCCTTTTTTGAGTGCTAAAAATAGACATCGTCCTATTTGCCATGTGGACTTATTAGCCGGGAAATACGGTATTTATAGCCGACATTGTTACGATATCCAATAAATTGTCACAAGTTGGAAAAACAAGTCGATTTATTAGAAAATAATTTCTGGCAAATAATTCTGATAACGATAGTTTAAAGTATTCATCCTTTACCAGGATGATTTTTTGTTGCGCAAAATAATCCAATCCATGACTGGTACCAGCATTTAAAATGTCATGCCGTATTAATTTAATTCTGTTCAACGTAACTCATGGTTGTATCGACAATCTGTGGACATAAAATGTGTAGTAAACTGACCGATATTATTAAGTATTGATTCCTATTTTTATATTGATAAAATAATGAAAGTATTAATGCCAAATACAACGTGTATTTGTGGACATGAAATACGTGGTAAACTGCCCAATTATAATTAATTTCGGATTCGTGTTTACAAAATAATAAAACTAATAATTTTAAAATGCAATGGCGATTTGTGGCCTTCAAATATGTGGTAAACAGCCCGATTTACCAACATTTGAGTTATGATAATAGAATTAAATTAACACGGTAAGGCATTTTAAGTAGTGGTATCGGTCATGGATTCGAATATTTTGCGCAGCACGAAATCATCCTAGTAAAAAGTCCATACTTTCAAATACGAACCAATGGGAACCATTATCCAAATTAGTTCCCAAGAGCGGGATAAAATATAAACTTGTGACAATTTTTCGTGAGTACTAAAATAAGAATCAAAACTAATTATATTCGGCACAATATCACGACAATCTGTGGACATAAATTGTGTGGCAAACTCGCGATTAATATTAATTTTTGATTCCTATTTTCGTATTTACAAAATACAACGGCGATCTGTGGACTTACAATGTGTGGTAAACTACCCGATTATAAATAGTTTTTGATTCCTATTTTCATATTTATAAAATAATGAAAGTATTATTATTATTCAAACATACAACGGCGATCTGCGGACTTAAAATGTGTGGTAAAGTTCCCGAATATAATTAATTTTTGAGTCGTATTTTTGTACTCACGAAAAAATTGTCACAAGCCGGAAAAATACCTCATACTTTATCCCGCTTTTCGACAAATAATTTGGATAATGGTTGGTATTTAAAAGTATGGGCGTTTTACTAGGATGATTTTGTGTTGCGCAAATATTCAAATCCATCATCGATACCACTATTGTCGTATTAATTTAATTCCGTTAACATGACTCATGGTATATAAAATATATACTGCAATAATCTGCAAATATGAAATGTCTGGTAATACAGCTAGGTTGTAACTTGTAGATAGCAGTTATTCCATTGCTTATTGTATGAAAATTCCTACATACATTTAGATAAGCTTCAATTAGTGGATTTTATTTTCGAAGTATTCGAAATTTCATATTCGAAAAAAATAATTTCGAATGTATTCGAAATAGTGAACTATTCGGTATTGGCCATCCCTGGATGCAGTACATGTATGTCATGTAGGTACATTGACGTGAGTGTATGAAAGTCTGTATTTGCAGATGTTGGAATTTAGGACACCGAACCATTTTACCGAGTACACGTGCAAATACATGACCAATTACTTTAATTCATAGAAAATCACGACTGCACTCAGGCTTTTTATCATTCAAGTAAATTACTTTATGAATCATTATGAATATTAGAATATTTTTCCATCACTTTTGTACACCAATAAACGATTTTTGTTCAAATAGCCAAATAAGACATATAGTTAACAGCCACTAAATTTGGGACTTGATGTATACACTTTACCTGATAATATTTTGAGTTTCTATATTTGCAAATATCTTTATCCACAGGTGGATTCAAGACAATATTGATGTTTTTGGAGGGGATAAAGGTAATGTTACAATATTTGGTGAAAGCGCAGGTGGAATGTCTGTTCAGAATCACATTTTGTCACCGCTATCCCGTGGTCTGTTTCACAAGGCTATAAGTCACAGCGGACAAGCTTCGTATCCAGGTATATACAGTCTAAACAAGACATTTAGGGCAATTTCAGTTTATTCTTTCTTTTGAAATCTGTATTTTCAGCATAATGCTGATCAAATTTTGTTTTTTATTTTCCTCATTTTATAGCCTATAGAACACATCGTAGCCCAAACTTAAAACTTCATGAACATTTATTCTGATGCATCATTACCCATAATTGTGCGCTCCCATTGTACTTGATATTTCGTGGAACGAGATTATGTTATTCTTATTTATTTATATTATTTTATTATTGCATAGACATAGAGAAATAAAAGTCTATTCAATGAATATTGGGGTTTATTCCCAGGAATTTGTCATTCGGCTGAGTCAAATGCAAGAGCTAACAAGGCACTACTAGAAAAACTTAAAATTGAAGAAAAGGACAATGATAAAATACTTGAGGCCTTGCAAGAAATTCCAGCTAAAGAAATAATCAAAGCGCATAAGGAAATAGCTGAAGTATAAATTCTTATACTCTATATTATGTTTGCTATCATGTGGCATCTCAGAAATATGCTTTTTAGCATGTGGTACTATAGTATCATTTATTTCGTAACCTATGTGCTACTTGCTTCTCTATTGATACTATACTGATTGATTTTAATTGTTTTAATTTATTCAATATGTATTTTCTATAGGCAAAATACACGTTTGTGCCGGTTGTGGATGGAATTGTGGTTCCAAAATCACCAAGAGAGATGCTGAACGAGGGAAACTTTACAAAAGTGCCATATATTATTGGTGCCAACAACACGGAAGGATATGGTCTAGCAATCTCAATGTTCGGCATTGCTGATGAAATATTTTCAGAACAACTGGCAAAACAAGGAATGCCCATACCGGTCAGTAAAATCTTTGACCCGCATTCCGATGATTATCGTTTGTGAATTGTTACATCATTTTTTATGAGTATTAGTAATTCCACATATATATAAATGTACGTGTGTGTATTCAGTGAGAAAAACGGCCATAATACCATGTTAAGTTCAAGGGTTAAAAATAGTACGTATATTCATAACAATTTATGTCGTATATTGAGCAGAAACAAAGCTCACGCCACCCCGTTCTTCCATTATTTTATTATCAGGTTTCCGAAAAAGGCTTCGAAGAATGCAAAAAATTTTATGCAAGTGATGTTAAAGATCAAAAACGATTTACAAAAATTGTTGGTGGATCACTTTCAGACGTAATGACTTGGAAGGCTGTTGAAAGTGCATCTTCCCATTCAGGTAACACCACTCAAAACTGAAGACATATCGACTTTTTATCGTTGTTAACTGGCGCGTAACGCTTACATATGGTGACAATACAAGTAGTTTTCACACGCTCGTTTGCTACAAAATGTCCTGACCAGGGGTTGATCATGGAGGTACTTTTCGTGAAATACCCAAATTCCTAAAATTGTACATGCTGTATATATTCCTATTTCATGATTAGCTCATACTGTTAATAGTACGCTAATTTATTAAACTAACAGTTATTGTCCTATATTGTGATAATCGCACATGAAGTTGAATCAGATTGTTTGTGTAACCTGACCTTCCGTTACCAACTATCAATGGTATATAAAAAATAAATAAGCTCTGATTTATGACATAAATTCTACACCAGAGCGTTTCTGATTCAAACAGTCAGAATAAAGACTTTCAAAATCGTTTTAATATCTAGAATAAATGTTTCAAAATGCCTACAAATTCGCAGTCTTGTATATGTTTGTGTTCTCAATTTTCCACTTTTCACAGAAAAATCAGGTGCAGATGTTTTTCTTTATCTGGGAGCTTTCCGATTGAAAATGCATCATGATCCAGAATTTGCACCAGGGATTGGAAAAAAGAGCGCAATGTGCGTATGCGACCACGGTGATGATATATACATGACTTTCGGTCTTCCATTTATTCCGGAGCAGTTTTCGGCAGAAGTCAAGTTCACTGACGAAGAAAAGGATCTCAGCAGAAAGTTTATGGCATATCTTACAAACTTCGCTAAAACTGGGTAGTGTATTTATTAACGGTAATTTAGGCTAGCGTATCTTTAATTTTGGGCTGGGTGGAGCCCTAATAATTTTTTTCTATTTCATTCATTTATGACAAAGATTCTCTACAAATACTTCCGAAGTATGGCGTTGATGAAAAAAAGGTCGGGCATGCTACTGAATACATATTGTAGAACTGTTATTTTATTTTCAACTCATTTCACAATCATTCATTTATTGTTTTTCAAGAAACCCAAACAATGGAGCCAAAGTGGAAAAGAAGTGGCCGAAGTATCGAGATAAAAAAGGATACTTGGAAATAAAAAATCCAATCTCAGTGGGGATGAATTTGGCCGAGAAAGAAGCAACATTTTGGAGTGAGGTCATGCAGCCACATATTCCAACTATGTTTGTGTAATAAATTGTGTCAACGTTGTGTTGTGTCATGATCTGACGAGATACTTTCTTTGAGCCTAACAACAAAATTATGAAAACGCAAATTCAAGTAGTGACAGATATCAAGAATCTCGATTACTGCATTATTATTTTATATTTGATATTTTAAGTAATTGCCGGATAAACTAAACATATCTAGTAATTTTTATACGCAATCAAATATATTCATGTATAACATGTTTGTAGATTATAAGCAACTTACGTAGTCACATATGATAATGCCCGCCCAGCAAGAAACCTACAATATGTTGGGCGGCGACGCTTTGCACTATCAATATCCTTAGACTTATGAGCTCCCAAGTTTTCGATATTAACAACTCCACAACTTCGATTTTGATTGTTCAAGTCTATAGCAGTCAATCAAATACCCAGTCTACCTGAACTATGACGACATAGACGATATATATCACGGGAAAACAACGAAATGATTTTAATTTAAAACAGAAACGACCGTAATAGGGGCCGTTACATAAGCGGTTAGAAATGTGTTGATAAAGTATACGACCATCCCAACAAGCAGGTTAACAATATACTTAACTCACAATATGCAAACAATAGCAACATTAAAATCGGAAACATGAACTGAACCAGGTCACTTAACTGAAAGCAAACAATCCGCTTAATACAGCAAACAATTAACGCTGTATAAAAGGCAGGCTCCTTATTTAAAATCAATTATGAACAGCCGACTAGCACGAAACGAAATAATAAGAAAGTGACAGTTGAATACATGCAATCGAAGGCCAAAACGAGGTAGTACGGTTTTGTTTTCTCGCAACGGAATTCCGTAATCTGTAAAAAAAAAAACGGGTACATGCACTTACCAACCACGGTGATCATACAAAAGTATGATTAAGGACATGCGAAGCGAGATAGCGGTCGGTCAGTCGGCACATAAGATAGGTAAGATTGACGAGCTTAAATTCGCTGATGAAACTGGCTGTGCAAAATGTCCATAGGTGAAAATGTGTGTGTGTGTGTGTGGAGATAACGTTTGTGCAAATATCTGTGGGTGCAAATGTACATGGGTGAAGTTTTTTCGTTAGTGCAAATATCCTTTGGCCTGAACGTGGGTGTAATCTATACGCGGGTGCTGAAATTTGTGGGTGCGATTGTCCGTTGTTGCAAATGTAGAATGCTAAATTATGCATGTGCAAATGTCAGTTGCAGATGCAAATGTGTTTAATCTAAAAAGTACGTATCACGTATCGTTTGAAACATTGCAATGGCACGAAACATACGTTATTGATGAGAAAAAACACTCCCACGACACGAACTTTAACACATGCAGGAACGCCATTTCGATCATGGCGTTAGCCAATATGGTATATATATATATATATATATATATTATAATATATTATGTATAAGTAAATTATTGATGGATCACTGATTTAATTTGAATTGAGGGGTTTATGTAATGTAAACATATAAATAAAGTGTCGCAATTTAATATACTCATAAATAATCCAAGTTACACAAGGACGTTGTAGTGTATATCACAGGGTACCGCCTTGTCTTGGGTACACTTGCATATAAACATATATATACATCAAAGTGACCTGCATTTTCAATGTCGAGTTTCAATACAATAACTAGATTGCTTTAAATTTATGTCAGTTTCAGTCCAGTAATGCAGTTAAAGTAGGGAATACTTCATCTATCTGGTGGTCTGGCGATTCTTCAATATAATCTCTAATCAGTGTATGTATATATATTTCTAGATGCCGATTAAATAATCGGATACGAAATGACACATTGATCGTTTTGTTATCAAGTTTTACTAAATTACTATTGAGTAACACTTTAATACCAAATGAAATAAACAATAATATTTACTAGAAAATAAAAGTAATAATTTTCAGTTTTTAAAAAAACAGAAACAAAAAAGCGACCCAAGAAAACATTCCGGCGATCCAGTTTGGGCTCACTGTGGTAGTATAATCCCGCAGCAGTGACGTGATTGTGGGGTGACACAGTCAGGTGGGATGTCAAAAAAGAGATTCTATTTACTCCAGTCTCAATTCAAGTACTTGTGATACTTATCTACACGAGACCCACAGATACGGTAGCCGTTCCATAGTTCCAGCTTGGTTCAGGACGTGGTTTCGTGGAAATGATGCTCAAAATATTTCGTTTTGACTTCCGTGGACATATATCTGAGCTTTGCTTTCTTATTCTCTAATAGCATGCTCACCGACAATAGAAGTTGTACAAAACCAAAATCTCTAATCTTTTCAAATATATCATAACCTCAATGACTAGTTTTGATCTGATAATATCCCACATATTCCTCCTGATAAAACCGTTTGTTTATCCCCTTTCTCGTAATTTCTCGAACGATAGGTTCCTAATGGTTGGAAAAATTGAACTTGGATTGACTTGACCTTCTGCCAAGATAAGCAAAGCAAATACCGTAAAAAATGCAAGAAAATACTGTTAAATATACCTTCTGATTTGAAACATCCAATTCTAGAATTAAAAAAAACACCTAATATATTTTAAGTATTTACGTGATTCTGGTTCGAGATGTCCAACCCAGACTTCAAGTTTATGTCTATCCGTCTGCATGTAGCCGGCTCATGGAGATATATAGATGACGCTATAGTTAGCGCAGCAAACTTTACAGGGTTTAATTATGATGGGAAATGTGATTCATGCACAAATTTCCATTGTACACATAAATATAATAACAATTTTAAACACCAATATCTTGAATAAAGATACCAAACAAAATTGCACATGGAAATATATACAAATGGCCCAGCACTAACTACCACAACACGTAAAGGAACATTCTAAGTGAAATGCTGAATATGGCGGCTATGCTGTGGTAAACTTCATGTCTCATTTTCACTGATTGAGTGTGGCTTTTAAGATACATATAGCTACCGCTCTCTTTATCACTGTGGGGAAACGAAACGTTAAAAACCGGAAAATTCAAAAACTTGCACAGCGGTAACCATCCGTCGAAGCATTTAAACACCAGCCATTTGGCTTTGGGAACTGCCTAAAATGAATGAAATTGCCATTACAGTTTTATTGCCTTTCAAATTAGATTGGCATTGTTAAATTATAACAGTTTTTTCGCGTTGGAAAGATACCGCCATTTTTTACGTAAGTGATTCTAGCAACCTTAATAATAAATATAAATATTTCCGTCAAAATACCGTTGAGGCAATTTTTTCATAGCCTTTTTTGAACTTGAATTTTAATTTGTAAATCTGATGAAACAAACCTGCAAAACTTAATTATTGTGTGCCCTATACTTCAACTTCAAATTGCTCTTGTTTTCTTCAATTGTTTTTGTTGTCATTTCTGAAACACCGTAGAATATTCTATCTAAATGGTGAATAAAAAAATATATTTAAACCCTAGAATATCTTTTTTCTATAAATGAGCTTCTCAGAACATACCCTGGAGCTGGGTGATAAAAAAAACGCATTTTGTTTCTTATATATTAGCCGTTTTCAAACATGATGCCATAAGCTGTTATTTTTGAAATTTTTATAGCGATCAAATTCATTGTAGAAGTTGAAGAAAAATAACAAGGAATTACCTGTAAACTAATCATGACATCCCAATGAGAGATGAAAAGACTATGCTATAAGTAAAATAATAATAAAAAAAAACATTCGCTGCGGTTTCGAGCGAGCCCCTTCACCGGGATCATGATGAATGAAAATCTAATTTATGTTCAATCAGTTCAGTTCTATTCTACAAAAGCGTAGATCATGTTACGAGAAATATCTTTTATGTATAGAGCTGTATGATGATACCTACTGAAGTGTTTCGGTCGACGAAAGGGATAAATGAACATGTTCGGTAGTCAGGTGTTGAATAGCGCTGCAATTGTCGACAAACACATTTGGGTAAAGAGATATTCAATTGATCTTGAATAATTCTGGAATAATTGCCTGTTTAAAATAAATTAACTACAATGTAAAGCTTTTTTCTAAAAGAAATTGAAGCCGTTTCAATTTTGCAAAACTTGTTGAATTCGCATTCTGTTCATGGAGAATATCGACATTTGTTCAGCGGATTTTGTCCAATGTTGAAATGGTTGATCAAATGTTGAAAAAAAAATGAAAGTACTTGTAACATGCAAATCAATGCTGATGCCTCATGCTTTCAGTTTTGTCGTTTTAAAATCGAACACAGAATCCTTGAAAAGTGTTCTGTCTGCTGATAGAAATAAACAATACAAACTATATTTTTACTCTTCTTTAAATTTGGGTTGCAAATTTATTCCTATCAAAGTGTCAATTATCTTATATCTGTGAGAAACATCGGTTAGGTTTAATTTATTTGATTTCGAAAAGTACTGCGCAGGCTACTCGGATCTCTTCACATGTGGTCCGCGGCCACGGGCTGGACGACCCTGGCTTAGGACATGATGTATTCGAGTAAAGTATTATTTGTAGTGTTTTCCTTTTACAGTGCCAGTAGCACTTTGTCTATAAAATGGATAACCTTGGTCATACTTGCTATTTTTTGTTTTCCTACCCTTGTCAACCTATCACTGCTCCATTTTATATATTTTTCACTAGTCTTTTTCTCCTTATATAGCTAAGTAGTGTTGTCCCTATAAGGTTGTTATTCGTGGGCATAATTGTTATTTTTTGTTTTCTGCCTTTATCACCCTACACTGCTCAAATTTGTATATATTTGTGTTCAATATTTTTATCAATGTCGCCCTGTTTTACATGCGTACAGTATCTAACCAGGTTCATTAATTTCTTATTTAATGGGAACATTTTTTCGTACAGTTGTTTTTATGTTTGCACTTTCAATGGCATTATTTTATTCCTGTACATTTTTTTGTTCAAGCCTACAGACTATTTAGAATGCTAGGTTATTCATTATAATATTAATATATTTGCATATTTTATTCATTATTTGGTAATTAAATTTAGTTACAACTGTATCATTTCAACATGTCCATAACCCACTGTGGTTATTATAATATTCCACATCAGCCCCGCTTCCAATTTGTATTCTACTTTTATGTTTTATGTACGACACTTCGCTATTATTGATATCTGCCCAGGAAGCCTTTACAAAGTGGGGGGGGGGGGGGGGCTTCTGAAAGTGAATCCGGTTCATGTCACCCACTGATGCGCTTGCCACGTCTTGGTTCTTGTGACTTACGATAATTAAGCCCTCGACTTCTGACTCTGCGACCACACGTACCTCACCCAGCTCGAGTTGAGTTGTCTTACTGTTTTATTATCGATTTTTATATTGTTTTATCGTCGCTGTTTTATATTCAATACGCAACAAAGAATTTACACGTTTTATCAGAAACTAAAAGTGGACAGTAATAAGGAAGTCAATCTGGTGACAGTACATTTGAACCCACGTGCTAAAACCCATGGGTTAGGGTTGGTATGGGTTCAAATATCCGTAGGTGCAAATTTCCATAGGTGCAATAGTATGCAGGTGCAATTGTCGTGGGTTCAAATTACGGTTTCAAATGTACGTGGGTTCAAATGTAATAGAACCGTCAGTCTCGACACGCAGGAGTCTAACTACCTACGCTACACATGTTTAATTGACGAAATTTGCTCATGCAATTATTCTATTTGTCAATTTTATTTTATCAAGTAAGCGTTTCTAATATTGACGTGCTGGAAGACGCGAGAAACTCGTTACGATTTCTTTATTGCAACCATCTTTCGTCTATCGTTGTAATGAACAAAGACAGGAAGCAAAAAGCTAACGCTATGTTAGTATTTAGCTGTATGAAATCATCTTTTATAAGTGGTATAACATTAGATTTACCATATATATATATATATATGAATGAAAATACAGGGACATAGCGCACCGGATAAACCTTAATTCGATTTACAGACGTATTGGTACCTGAACCGTCTGCTATACTATTACGAGTGGATATCGGACCTCAGAATTATCGGTAAATATTATTATTAAATATTCTCTTCTGGTTTCTAGCTGTTTTGAAAAAGAATGAAAAATAGATTGTATTGTTTATTTCTACCAGCAAACAAAACACTTTTCAAGGATTCTTTGTTCGATTTGAAACGACAAAACTGAAAGCATAAGCATAAGGCATCAGCATTAATTTTGCATGTTACAAGTACTTTCATTTTTTTCTAGCATGCGATCAAACATTTTACAATGGGAAATCCGTTCAAAAATGTCAATATTTCTTATAAACAAATTCAAAAAGTTCTGCAAAATCGAAACGGCTTACAATTTTTTAGGAAAGAGCTTTGAACATTGTAGTTAATTTATCTCAAACAGGCAATTTTTTCCAGAATGAATCAAGAGCAATTAAATATCTCATTACCATAATCTGTTTGTCGAAAACTGCAGCACTATTCAACACCTGACTATTGAACATTTTCATTTAACCCTTTCGCTGACCGAAACACTTCATTCCAGAATATTTTTGCTATTCGGGATAGTCAATATGTGGAGCCTGCTCATCATACAGCTCTATACATAAAGACATTCCTCCTAAAATATTCTACCCTTTTGTAGAATACTAAGCTGATTACATAATAACATCAACATAAATTAGATTTTCATTCAGAACCGACAGCGGCATTTGTCACGGAGTTCTGAAAAAATGATACTACTCAGCCTGATGTCCAGCATAGATTCCTCGTCGTCACACAAACATCAATTCCCGCAATCGTTTGATGTTCTCCTTACGTTAGGAGTCGGTTATGTGCAAATGATAAGTAAAGCGTAAAACAGACGTCGACATATACTTGTGAAATACGGAGAATTTGCAAAACGTATATGTTCACAGACAAAATACTCATGCGCGCTGGCGAATACGATCAGCCATTATAACAGTATTATACAAGATAAAACGTGCTATAAACGGCTTTTTAGGTGTTCCGAAACCTCTTTAGTTGTCCCAATAATCTGACCTGCGACTGTGAAATTTTGTAGCAGGTTAGCCCTTTTTGAAAAATAGTTTTGTGACTCCTGCTATATATAAAATCAAACGATATACCTATTCATATATGAATTTCAGGTATCACCACATTGCGGAAGGATTGCCATGAAGGTAGTTGTAGCAGGACTGCCAAAAACTGGAACTACGTCTATGAGGGAAGCCCTAAAATTTTAGGTGTGAAAAACGTTCACCATTATTTTGAGAACTGCTGTGTCGCGCAAGATCAGTGGACCAACATTCTTAGAGGAAGATGGTGTCCTGGAGATTTTAAAAGATTGTTCTACGATTCTAATAGACGAACCAGCTTGCTTTCTATGGGAAGAAATTTGTTTAGCGTTTCCAGATACAAAGGTGATGGTGATTTTTGTGGTGTAATCTTTGTGTGATCAGATAACAACCGATAAATGTTTATAAGTGAAAATAATATTTTAGCGAGATAGGGGTGTTAAAAGCAAGATTAGATATTTCATATTATAATGCCTACAGCTATAAGATGAATTTTATATGCATGTAATGCATGGAAACGAAGTCACCTTCAAAAATTATCTTGTGCAATTAAATCACAGTTCTTTGACTTTGGAAAAAAACTCCGCAAACCTGTATATACGACATAAAACAACCCTACACATTTGTTATTTGATATATAAATATATAATATATGTTGTAAAAATAAGTATTGCTAATTTCCTGAATGAATAGGATACCGGATTCTGAGGGCAAAGTTCGATCTTGAAAGAGAAAAACATATTTAACATAGATTAGTTGCTTTATACTTCGAAGTACATGTCAGAACTGCAAACAAGCACTTTCAAACCAACAACTCTAAGTAGTTCTTATTGTAATATTATTGACGTACTGACAAACGTTGAAATTCATATATACTCTATACCAGGGGTCGGCAACCTACGACCCGCGGGCTAATATAATCCGACACGCGACGCTTCACTGAATTATAGTAACAAAACAGCTGTTTTGACGATTATATTCTATACATAACGGAATTTATTGTGAGACACGTGTAGACTAAATTATATTATGAGCTAAAAAGTATATATTTCACAATTACGCGTTTAATATTACAACCTATAATTTAATTATAATTAGACAAATTACAACAAAACGCAGAAAAATTGATGCTAAGTGCAACGGGTTCAATGACGTGGAAAATATTCAAATGGAGATGTATCACTGCTCGATTTTTATTATTAAAAGTATCATCCGTTCGGTTTTCAACTTTCTAAAATATGTGCGGCCCGCCAATGACTTGCAAACCTTATTTTTGCCCCGCGAGCGACAAAAGGTTGCCGACCTCTGCTCTACACCGACAAATAGTATAAAAGTTATTAATAGTGCCTAGTTCTATCAACATTACAGCCGATGCGTGCGTCTTCATGTGCCAATGAGATATTAAAAATAAATTATTATTTCGAACATATTGGATAGAATAAAAGTGTTCTGAGCTCTTTATAACTACAGATTGTTTTGGCTATGAGAGAAAATGATGAAGTGTGGTTTGAAAGTCTAAAACAGCATTATAAGAAAGAAGAATGTTTATACGAAGATTATTTGGTGAAATACCTTTCTCCTACAGGTTGGCGAAAGTACAGAAACATAAGACTACCGATGGGTACAATATTTATTCATTATTAGGAGCAATAAGGAATAATTATTATTTCACTTATAGAATAGTCTTTTTATCTATCTTTGGGATGTCATGGGATGTTTGAAAATGGCTAACATATGTGAAACAAAATGCGTTTTTTATTACCCAACATCAGGGTATGTTCGGAGAAGCTCATTTATAGCAAAAAAGGTTTTCTAGGGTTTAATTACCTTTTTTCATTCACCATTTAGATAGAATATTCTACGGTGTTTCAGAAATGACAACAAAACAATTGAAGAAAACAAAAGCATTTTGAAGTTGAAGTATAGGGCACACAACAATTACGTTTCGCAGGTTTATTTCATCATATTTATTCGATAAAGTTAAAGGAACAATTAAAATATGAAATTTTGGCACAATTGTCTTTTTGACAATATTTCACAACCAGCGAGATAATTTTTGTACAAGCAGAGATAAATTAAATCTTGAAAAAGTTTATCAAAATATTGCTTTCATGGTATTTTGATTGAAAGTGTTAAGGTTGCTGGAATCCCTGACATAAAAAATTGCGGAATCTTTGCAACGCGGAAATATGTTAGTTTAATAATGCCAAGCTAAATTGGAAAGCAATAAAACATAAAGCGCAATTTTATTCATTTTAGGCAGCTCCCAAAGACAAATTGTTGATGTTTAAATGCTCCGACGGATGGTTACCGCTGTGACAGTTTTTGAATCTTCCGGTTCCTAACGTTCCGTTTCCCCACAGTAATAAAGGCGGCGGTAGCTATATAGATCGTGAAAGCCACCCTCAAGCAGTGAAAATGAGACATGAAGTTTACCAGAGCATAGCCGTCATATTCAGCATTTCACTTGGAATGTTTCTTTACTTGTTGTGGTAGTTAGTACTGGGGCATTTGAATATATTATATTTTAATGTGCAATGTTTTTGGTATCTTTATTCAAGATATTGGTGTTTAAAATTTTTATTATATTCATGTGTACACTGGACATTCGTGCACGAATCACATTTTTTATCAAAATTATTTCAGGTTATGTTCGCTGCGCCAATCTAATCTATCTAATTATGTAACGGCTACCGTATCTGTGGGTCTAGTATAGATCAGTATCGAAAGTACTTTTAGTAAGAGTGGCGTAAATAGACCTCCTTTTCAAAATTCCACCTGACTGTGTCATCCCAAAATTACGTCACTGCTACGTTTTTGACTATGAATACTTTTATTGAGGTACATCGCCACTCATAACCCTGATTTTGTGCTCAACAAAAATGTTGAAGATTATTAAAAAAGTTTAACATTGACCAATGGAAACAGGAACGGTTTAACACTACTAAATTATACTATTAGCAAATTATATTCCCAGAAAACATCAGGTATTTAATTGGAAGATTTTAGAAAATGGGCTTTCAACTGGAGAACGAATTAGACATTGGTCAGATGAAGCAAATGGCAATTGCGTATTTTGTGACAGAGCGATAGAAGATTGTATACATTTATTTTTTTAATTGTGATTATATAAAATCTTTTTAGAAAAGGCTAAATTTATCAAATTATACAGAACATAGTATTTTCACCCAAAATGTTGAAATTAAATCATTAAACCTAATTATCTCTTGTGGTAAAGCAGCAATTTGGAATTTCAGAAATGGCATAATATTTCAAGAATTGGAAACCTATTAGTCCATACTTCGAACGATGTTCAAATGTGTGGTGAAAGGATCTATAAGGGTTATGAATGAGTTTATAAAATGGGAAATATTAAGAGATGAGAAAATTGAAATTCTTTTAGAAAAATCTGTGATGCTGTGAAGTTTTCATATCCGTTATCTAAAAAAAATATTATTTAGATAGTTATAATGCGATTGTATGTTTATTGTGAGTACATGAAAAGTATGATTTACCATATGGAGTTGTTGTATTATAATTTGGGCTTAGAAATTATATAGTTTGTATTAATTATGTTTATTGTATTATATTCAAATATTAATTACAAGATAAGATTATGGTCATATTTTTTCATGTCTAACATTATTTTTTTTCCATTTTTTTTTTCATTTTCCTAAAATGTGTGCAATGGTATATATAACATCTATGGATAATTGGATCTCTATATCCTGCTGACGATATTGTTATGGTGGAATACAAATCAGTTGCATCCTGGGAATTATTCGAATATTTGAATTAAACCTTCATACGTACATCATGGACTTTGAATTCTATTGACTGTATAATTTGAATTATATTTATATTCGAACATTGTATACTGGAAATCAACTCATAACAAATCCATTCAATGATATTACGAATTAGACGTTATGAATTGATTTCTTGTTTCATTTCATTTTTTTATAAAAAATAAAATGTTAGGATCAATGATGATGTCAATAAATATTATTACCGTATGTGGTTTTATGCCTGAACGACTGCCGATTAAAGACTATACGCTTACGCCTTCTCCGTTCCACGTAGAGATCGCATAGGCGATATATATGACGGTGGACGCTCTAATCTTGAACTATCCGAAATTTTAAGAAAGCTGCACAGTTCCGTGTTTGTCCAAATGACGCCCCAAACACCAACCAGAATTTTTGAAGAAAAGTTTTTTTCAGCAATCACCACCAGATATTGTTTCAGCTCTTGATGCCCATCCGGGTGATAAAGTCAATCTCTTAGCTACTAGAGCTGATATTATATTCGCCAGACAATCTTTACAATCTGCTAATTGTATATCAAATCAAGACTGTGTTATTGACAACAGTAGAAACTCAATGCCGAAGTCATTCAATGATGTCGGAGTTAGCTAACAAACTCGGGAATCTTCGAGAAGATATTGACAGTTCATACAAAATACCAGGCTTGTCCATGGGAATGAGATTCCCACGGGAAACGTCCCATGGGATGGGACAGCACACATTTGTAGTTCCCATGGGACACGAAAACCGTATGATTTTCGGGAAATTATGGTAAAACATCTCGTTATTGATTTCGTGTCCATATATTTGAGCATAGCTCTCTTGTTGTTAAAAATGGAAAAATGTATTCAGCATTAAAAATATACTTCGTGAAGGGACTGATGGACACATGTATAATAGTTATGAATATAAAGTTAACAAGGCCATAAATTTTGTTGTTTTGCATGTCTATTCGTACATGTAGTGGACACTAAACCTAACTTTATCAATTTTTATTAAATTTTATTCCAATGAGAATTCCATGGGATGGGACAGGATATACATCATGGACTATGAACTCTATTGACTGTATAATTTGTATTATATTAATATTCGAACATTGTATACTGCTGGAATAGCAGCAATTGCCATGGGATGGGATGGAAATGGGACAGAAAAATATGTCCAATGGACAAGCCTGCCAAAATACCCATAGATACGGTAACGTTCCATAGTTCCAGTCTGCTTCATAATGTGGTTTCGTGAAAACTATGGGGAAAATGTTTCCTTTTAGCTTTTCGTGTCCCATATATCTGAACTTTGGCTCTCTTGTTCTCTAATAGCATACTCACCGACAATAGCAGTTAGTACAAACCAAAATCTCTATTCCGTTCAATTATATATTAGAACCTCGATAACAATTTTCATCCTGTTCCCGATAAACCTGTTTGTTTGGTTCCATTACATTTGAACCCACGTGCATTTGAACCCACGACAATTGCACCTATGGAATTTTTGTTTTGTTTTACGGATATTTGAACCCATACTAACCCTAACCCATGGGTTTAGCACCCGCATACAGATTGAACCCGCGGATAATACACGTTGGTTTAATTTACGTGGTTCAAATGTACGGTATTCTGTTTGTTTATCCTCTTTCTCGTAATTTGCAAACGATTGGGATATATTGGTTAGAAAAAATTAACTTGGCTTGACTTGATTTTTTTGCCATAATAAGCAAAGCAAAAAATACAGTAACAAATCCAAAAAAAAATGTTAAATACCGTCTGATTTGAAACATTTAATTCTGGAGTAGTAAAATCCAATAATATATTTATTTTTAAGTATTCATGTGATTCTGGTTTGAGATGTCCAACCCAGGTTTTAAGTTTCTATGGGCTCGTCTGCATGTAGCCGAGCTTATGGAAATTTATAGATGAAGCCAGTTGGCACAGCAAACATAACCAAAATTAATTATGATGATAAATATTTATGACGCATAAATATAATCAAAATTTTATACACCAATATCTTGAATAAAATCCCCCAAAAAATTGCACATTAGAATATAATATATTCGGATGGCCCAATACTAACTACCACAACAAGTAAAGAAACATTCCAAGTGAAATGCTGAATATGGCAGCTATGCTGTGGTAAACTTCATGTCTCATTTTCACTGCTTGAGGGTGGCTTTCACGATCTATATAGCTACCGCCGCCTTTATTACCGTGGGGAAACGGAACGTTAGGAACTGGAAGGTTCAAAAAGTTGCACAGCGGTAACCATCCGTCAGAGCATTTAAACACCAACAATTTGTCTTTGGGAGCTGCCTAAAATGAATAAACTTTCCCCTCAAAGTTTTTTTGTCTTTCAAATTTAATTGAAATTGTTAAAGTAACAGTTTTTTCGCGTTTCGAATATTCAGTCATTTAATGTCAGTGATTCTACCAACCTTCACGCTATAGTATAAGTATTTAGTCAAAATACCATAAAATTTTCACAACCTTTTTTAAACTTCAATTTTATTTTGTGTATTCCTTGTACAAAACAACACCTTGGTTGAGAAATATAATTGCATATGAATGTAGCGTCATCGCAAGCCAAAATGATAATTGTGCCAAAATTTCTCATGTTCATTTAACTTTATATAATAAAGCTGATGACACAAACCTGCAAAACATAATTGTTGTGTGCCCTATACTTCAACTTCAAATTGCTCTTGTTTTCTGCAATTGTTTGTGTTGTCATTTTTGAGACACCATAGAAAATTCTATCTAAATGAAGAAAAACAAAAAAAGGTAATTAAACTTGCAGCAGAAAAAACATTGTTCTGCTATAAATACAGTGAAACTGGCTGATAAAACCGCATTTTGTTTTACATAAATATATTAGCCGTTTTCTAACATGATGCCCTAAGCTGTTATTTTTGAAATTTTCATGGCGATCAAATCCATTGTATGAGTTGAAGAACAATAACAAGGAATTATCTGTAAACTAATCATGACGTCCGAATGAGAGATGGAAATCCTATGCCATAAGTGAAATAATAATTCTTCTTTATTGCTCTTAATAATGAATAAATATTTTACCCATCGGTAGTCTTATGTTTCTGTACTTTCGCCAACCTGTAAGAGAAAGGTATTTCACCAAATAATCTTCGTATAAACATTCTTCTTTTTTATAATGCTGTTCTATAATGTTATTTTCTCTTATGGTCAAAACAATCTGTAAATATAAAAAGCTCAGCTATACTATTTCTCTGTGTATAGTATATATAAGTTGCAACGTTTGATTTGATTAATGACTTTTTTACAACGTACATACAATAATGACTTTTTTACAACGTACATACATATATTATATATATATATCAAACAACAAATTTGTTGGGTTGTTTCTTATCGTATATACTTTTTCTCGAAGTTTTTTTTCAAAGTTAAAGAACTGTGATTTAATTACACAAGTTAATTTTTGAAGATGACTTCGTTTCCATATGTCCATATTACATAAAATACATCATATAGCAATTTGTTAGCACGGGCATCATAATATGAAATACCTATTCTTGCTCTTAACACCTCATCTCGCCAAAATAATATTTTCCCCTATAAACATTCATGAGTTATCTGATCACATTCTAGTGCAAGTTATTGACACCGTGTTAATCTTATACAATCGATTGTATATGTCTCACAAAAAGCTTACACTATAAAATTTATCATCACCTTTGCATCTGGAAACGCTAAACTAATTTCTTCCCATAGAAAGCAAGCTGGTTCGTCTATTACCGCGTCCACGTCGTGGAACAATCTTTTAAAATCTTCAGGACACCATCTTCCTCTAAGAATGTTTGTCCACTGATCTTGCGCAACACAGCAGTTCTCAAAATAATGGTGAACGTTTTTCACATCTAAAAAGCTTCTTTCATAGACGTAGTCCCAGTTTTTGGCAGTCCTGCTACAACTACTTTCATGGCAATCCTTTCGAAATGTACTAATACCTGAAATTTATAGATGAAAAAACATATATCGTTTGATTTTGATTTTTCGTTATATTGTGAGTTTTATGAACCAGGGGTCAACACACTATTTTTTATAGAGATCCCTACTGCTACGAAATTTTACGGTCGCAGGTCAGATCATTGGCGCAGCTAAGGAGGTTTCGGAACACTGAAAAAGCGTTTTATCTTGGATAATCCCGTTATACTGGATGATCGTTTTCGCCAGCGCGGCATAAGTATTTTGTCTGTGGAGGTATCCGTTTTGCAAATTCTCCGTATTTCACAAGTATTCGATTTCCTTCTCATTTATAGCCTACATGACCGACACCTAACGTAAGGAGAACAACAAAAGACTGTGGGAATTGGAAATTTTGTGACCGCGAGGAATCTATGCTGGACATTATGCTGATTAGCATCATACTTTTTGAGAACTCCATGACAGATGAAAAAAACATCCGCTGCGGTTTAGAGCAAGCCCTTTTACTGGGATCATGATAAATAAAAATCGAATTTATGTTCAACCAGTTTACTATTCCACGAAGGTGTAGATTATTTTACGAGAAATGTCTTTTATGTATGGAGCTGTATGATGATACCTCAGGGATAAATGAACATGTTCGGTAGTCTGGTGTTGAATAGCGCTGCAATTTGCGAAGAACACATTATGTTAAAGAGTTATTCAATTGAGCTTTGTTCATTCTGGACATAATTGTCTATTTGGTATAAGTCAACTACAATGCGCTCTTTCTTTAACGCTCTTTCCTAAAATAAAAATATAAGCAGTTTCGATTTTGCAGAATTTGTTTAATTTGCATTCTGTGTATGGATAATATCGACATTCGTTGAACGGATTTTCTATAATGTTGAAATGTTTGATCGGATGTTAGACAAAAACTGAGAAGTACTTGTAACATCTGATGTCTAATTCATCAATGCTTCCAGTTTTGTCGTTTAAAAATCGAACAAAGAATCCTTGAAAAGTGATCTGTCTGCTAATAGAAATAAACAATACGAACTATTTTTTCAGTCTTTTATAAAATTGTCAGAGACCAGAAGAGAATATTTTAAAGATATTTACAGATAATTTTGGTGTCCGGTACCCACTCGCAATATTATGGCAGGTGGTTCAGGTACAGGTACGCCGATAAATCGAACTAAGGTTTATCCGATCCGCTTTGTCCATTTTTTTTCATCCATATATATATATATATATATATGGTAAATCTAATGGTATACCACTTAGTCACTTATAAAAGAATATTTCATACAACTAAATAGTAACATTAGCGTTAGCTTTCTGCTTCCTGTCTTTGTTCGTCACAACAATAGACGGTACTCCCGAAGTATGTGAACCAAGATGGCGGACACCGGAACGTAGTATGTATACAAGATTAGGGTTAGAGTTAGACCATTTAATTTTAGTAACGCTCACGCAAAGTAGAAGCGCTGATAAAATAAAATTGACGAATAGGATAATTTCATGAGCAGATTTTCCATTTAAACGTGCATATATATATCATACCAAAGAAAATGCTGCGGGGCCAAATCATTTATTCTTCCTCTCAAGGCCGTAGTTCGGTGACCCCTCTTATAAGTGGTCGAATTCAAACTTTTAAAAACTTTTAATTTTTCTCATACTCACTGACAACTTGTTTCTTCAATTTAGAAAAGCATGCCTGACTCATAACTAACGTATCACAAGATTAAATGGTTAAGAACAATTCAATCGTCAACTTAATCAACAATTCAATTTATTATTCAGCTGCAGTTCAGTAAAAATAACCATCACTTGCAAAAATAAAGATGGATTTACCGAGATTTTTTATTCTCCATATTCTGACGATATGCGATAAAAGTCGTCTGCGAATGTAAATATATAATGAGAAAATCACGCGTTCGCTTGATTCGATACGCCAAACTGATAACTGAACGATAATCAATAAATGACATCAGAAAATGCAAACATAAGGCAAAATCACGCATCAGCATTGTCCGATGTGGAAAACTGTCGGAAGGATGAAGCTGCAATCAATGCATAAATGACAAGAACTTCTTGTTTTCATTCTAACGGGTCCTCAAATTACAAAACAGTCGTGACAGAACATCGCATTTTCTTTCACATTGCTTCAAATAGAAAGTTACATTTATATATATTCAAATTAATGAATATTACATTGAGTAACGTTTTGTCTCACAAAAGAAGTGAAAATGTGACCACATTCATGAGGTTTGTTAATCAGGCACAAGAAGTATTATTTCCACTCATTATTTAGCATACCGATATGTTTCGTATAGCAGGAACAGAGCGCTAAAAGTTCATTGTTTGGGGTCATGCCGCAGTAATAATCCGAAATTTCGAGTGCTTCTTTGATTGAAGTGGTCCCAGATTTTGGAATTCTTGCTACAACTACTTTCATGATTATCTTTTGAAATTGTAAATCTTTAAAATTCATGTATAAATATAAATATTTACACATGTATTAAGTGAGGCAAACGATTTTAATATTGATTTCAAGGATTAGCACGTTCATGTATCCACATAAAGACAATTTTGAAGAAAAAATTCCCATGTATGAGTACATAATAGAAAATAATATCAAGCAAATTTATATATCGTATTGAGCTCAAATAGAAACATACACCGTTCATCCCTAATTTTAAAATTAGGTATTCAGAGAAGGCTTCAAAAAATGTTAAAGGTCAAAAACGATTTACTAAAATTGTGGTGGATCACTTTCAGGCGTGATGACTTGGAACGTATAAAGGTTGCTGAGAGTTCATCTTGCCATTGTGGTAAAACCATTCAAAACTGGAGACATATCGATTCATACATCGTTGGCAATTGGTACGTAGATAATCCATATATATATAGTGACAATACAATACAAGTATACACACCATTGTTTGCTCAAATTGACCTTCACAAGGGGAAGATCCTGAAAGTACTTTTGACGTGATACTCAAATTCCTCAAATATTAAAAATATAAAATCCAGGCCATTATTCGTGGCCTTATTCGTTGAATTTCTAAGTCAAAAACGATAATATCACAATGGAGTATGAAGATTTGGAAAATCGTTTGAATATTTCAAATAAATTTCATTTCTCTACTTTCTACAGAGGAATCATGTGCAAATGTTTCCCGTTGTCTAGACTCTAGAGCAGGGGTTCCCAAACCGCGGCCCGCGGGCCAAATCCGGCCCGCGTAACGATTCAAAATGTCCCGCCGAGCTTGAGTGAAATAGTGTGCAAGTTAGTGCAACAGATTTTGCTTCACCTTTTTTCATTCTAGATAGCGCCAAGTGTTACGCCATTATCACACTTCAAGCACGTGTTTTTATCGTAACAATTCAACTAAAGCATTATCTCAATTATTCGTACCGGTATTATGATTACATAGGGCAGTAATTTAATTATGAACCATAAGAGCTTAGACATGTCACGCGCTTTCAGGCGCTACACTCTTCCGGCCCGCGAACATCCCTCCAATTCAAGTTTTGGCCCGCGGCCAATAAAGTTTGGGAACCCCTGCTCTAGAGGCTTTCCTAATAAAAATGCATCCCGATTCAGTATTTACACATGGAATCGGGAAAAAGAGCGCGGGTGCATATGCATATTCGAAGCTAAATGAAAGCGCGTGGACGCATATCCCTTCGATGAAAGTCGAGTGCCAGTCCCGAAATTTGAATCAAAACACAAGCGTGGTAAATCGTGGCGATTCTAACTTTGTCCACTTATCTGTGGCCGTGGGTGCAATTGTACATGGATAAAGTTTTATGTGATTGCAAAAATCCTTTGACATGCTCCACAAAGTGTACGGATGGTCGTTCAAAACGCGCAGACTATCACCCAAAATTTAGCAAGTAGGCCGCGAGCCGAGGCCATTTATCTTTCAGTTTCGTAGCGCACATCAGGTAACTACCTGAAAATGATATTAAAATGTTCCTTAGAAATTTAGTAACAAATATTGCCTTGTTCCCACTTTCAAAAGTTGCACGTTCTACAGAAAAGACGCTTTTACTACAATAAATATGTGTTATCATCCGTCCTATTTTCTCTGCTTTTCCGGTATCATGGGCCAATGAACGCACAATTCTGCACGACGTAACAGTCAAGTTAGTCAGCTGTAGGTGGATCCCCAGTGGTCGGATGAATATCAGATGTACTACTACTGGTCGCTTTTGCGTTG